CCCGGCTCCCTAAACCGTCCAGCAAGTCCCCACGGGTGGGCAAATCGGCTCCCGGCCGCCGGCGCGCCAAAACCTCGAAGTCAGCCAGGGGATGCTCATTTTCGGCCTCCTCCGGGGGATCCTCATCGTCCGAACTCGAGTCCGAATCCGAGCCTTCTCCTTCCGGGTCGTCGTAGAAGTCTGGCGGGTGTGTATGTAAACGTCGACAGGCCCGAAATGCGTCGATATATGATCCGTAGTTCTCGTTCTCGACGGAGAGGAGATCGGGCCAGTCCGTAAATGGATGATGGAGCATCAGTTTGACGCGGCAGTAGTCGGAATAACTCTGAGATTTCGGATCGTTCGGATATCTGGGGTAGTAGTTGATGACCCGTGAACTCGCCCGCGGCCGGATCTTCCACTTTAACCAATCCCAGAACTGGAGGCAGCTCAAAAGACTGAGGTCCCGAAGGGCGGCGTTCCCGTTTCTCGTATCGGTCAGACGATCTCGATACCTTCGTAGGACCGATCGCCTGGCCGAAATGTCCCCCGACTCCAAGACAATCAGGTCCTCTTGTACTTCTTCGGGCCGGCAATCGAGGCCGACGACTCCCCGCGACGAATGCTGAACCGGAATCTGGAGAAGGAGATGGGAGACCTCCTGTGCGGACCAATCCCGTTCTCCAATGAGTCTATTGAGCATCTTCGAGACGAACGACAAAAGGGGGGCGCGGTCGTTCACGTATGGGAGGATTTGCGACTGGAGCTCGGTATACGACAGGGATGACTTTTCCGGCTTGGATACGTACTTACCTATATAAGACAGGACGGCGGGCAAACTGGTCGGCGGTTGGATGTCCGTATTCGCCATCCACCCCATGGTGACGACCGGTGAACACTGGTTCAGATTCGCCTGGTTTCGGGCTGGAGAAAATAACCACCCTTTGTGGTTAATCTCCTGCGTCACCACCGGGGCGGGGAAAAGCGGCCGTGGAAAGAAAAACCGGCAGGACGACGGGACTTCCGATCCTCTTTTCGTCCGTAAACAGTAAGGCGCTCTACACGCCGAGTGCACCTGAAGTCGGTTGAGGAATGCAGCAAATTGATCGGCCGTATTAGCAACATCCGAATGGGCCAGGGATGCCGGGTTTCGTGCATCAGGGAGCCGGAGCTGGTCCGGATTCCAGGCCGTGATACGGACACCCCAGTACTGGGCAAACCGGGCTCGGGCGTCGGGCGTTGCGACATCGAGGGGCGGTGCCGATGGGATCCAAAAGAGGCAGTGTAAGTGGCCGGAACCTCGAGCCTGCCACTCAAATCGGGACCACTCGTCCGTATAGCCCAAGAAGGGCCGCAAAACGCGCTCTTTGAAGACCCGAAAGCGGATATCCAAGTAAGAGGCGATGATGTGTGGGTGGCTTTGAACCATCTCCCAAATGAATTGGCGCCGAAGACGATCATCCCCCGTCGCCGCGGCCGAAAATCCGGGGAAGTGTCGATGCAAGTCCTCCCATTGCATATCGGCGGCACTGAAGGTGAGAAACACCGGCGACGTTCCGGGCGAGAGAAATCGGGCTTGCGCCTGCAGCCCAGACCCCTTATTTCTCCAGAACGGGCGAGTTCCAGTCAACGCCGAACCTTGACGAACAATCTGAGGGAGGAGAGACTCATCCGTCAGCAAGGCCTCCGTTAACGCTTCACGGGTAAGATCCTTTAACCCCGACGCCTTCGACACATAAAAACGGGCCGAATTGCTCGCCCTTCGACGCATCAGGAGGTTAAAGATCAAAAACCGCCAGCGGGGATGTCGACCGAATCTCCCATCGTGATAACACATCAGATGTCGAGCGTAATCTTTTAAATCAACCTTTCGCTGTCGGGCGGCGTTAAAATCGGCTCGACCCGTAGGGTAGAGAGTGGGGAAGGCCATGGCAAAGATCCGCTCTCTCCCAGCTGCCTCATCGAGGGGGGTCGATCGAATGGATGGCGCTGGCACGCCAGGAGGCATCAAAGCACGCCCAGAAATCTCGGCCAGAAGCCGGTCGACTTCTGTCGTATCATCATGGAGATTAGGGACCATCGATTGCGAATTCGTAGGGGGGAAATCGGCCGGGACTGGCGGGTTTGGGCCCGTGGACGTGTCTGGAACAGGGTCCTCCTCCGCGATGATTGACTCGTCGACGATCGAGGGGAACGATGAGGAAATATCATCATCAACCGGCAGTCTTTCGAGTCGGTCCAGGGAAATGGTGATGTATCGGTAATCGGGGTGGTTGGCCTTTAAATAACGAAGCCAAGTTACCACATGGCTTTTCCGGACCCGGAAATCAGCACGAAACTGGGAATGATATCTGGGGTTATTCTCCATTACTTGATTCGACGGGCGAACAACGACAATATCCAGCTCGGAGGGTAAATTGGGTAACATATTCACCGTTTTCACATTGTTTTGCATGAAACTCACACAGTGCCCGGAGTAGTGATACTGGTGGCCTCGATATCGATGTACCAACATCTGCACATGAGAACGGGCAATAATCATCTCTTCCACTTGGGTCAAGGTCGGTAAACGGGCTGGAATCTCGCCTGGATCCATTTCGTTATCCGTCGACATCAGAAAAGGAGAATGGGAACTCTTATCTCTCAAGAAACAGGTGTGGCAGATCTCGTTCTTTAAATTCATCGTAAACCACCGTTCTCGACACCGAAGACAGAACTCCATTTTGACCTCATCTAAGGCGTTGTAAAATTCCTGGATAAACCTCCATTGGTCTGCCGGAAGGAAGTCCGTCGGTGGTGGGAGCGGAGGTTGCGGTCGTGATTCGGCTTCCGGGGGGATTTCGAATCGTTCATGAGAGAGAGGGATCGAAAGAGCGTCTGGAGGTTGCGGCTGTGATTCGAGTGGAGGGAGAGAGCGTGTAGAGGTATCCGAGCGGGTTTCGGGTCGTCCATGAGGAAGAGGGATCGAAGGAGCCTCGAGCGTACGACTAATCGCCGGTCTTTTCGAAGGCACGTTAAGATCGAGTGACGAGAGAGCTTTCCTCTTCTTCTCACGCAGTCGAGCACTTCGATTCCGGCAATGAATACAGGTGGCACGAATCTTGCTACTTGGATCAGAGGGATCTGCTAGAAAAGAAGAGAGGAGGAGTTTTTGAAGGCACGCCGAGCAGAATTTGGAAGTCATTAGTTCGCTGTTCTGTCTAGATGTAAGGTTGAGGTGAAAGAGGTTTGTACAGGCACGCGTTCGACACGCGCCCGGAAACTGGACCGGGGGGGTCGCGACGTCACGTTACTGTTTTTTTTTGGATCACGTGGGTTTTTTTCCGCGCATGGCCAGGTCACGTGCGGGGGGGTCGGGATTTAAAAGAAAGCTTACGCTTTCAATTATGAAAAGCTTGTTCCGCATATAATCATGTCGGAGGACTCGAGACCAATCATCAAGGCCTTAGAAGACGTCCTGGTCCGCCTGAGCGAGAACCCGTACCCTCATGTGCCCTCTCCGCAAGGCTGCAAGAAGCGAGCCAGTGTCGCCGCCATAATTCGTGTCCGACCTGCCTACACCCCTGTCCCGCCTGACAATGGCTCTGTGGTAGAAATCAAAAGGCCTTCCTCTCCTCCCTCGTCGATCAGCGAATTCTTTTCGCAGGAATGGGTTCAACAGGGTGACCCCGAACTCCTCTTCATCAAACGCGCAGGCCGCGCAGGAGACAAATGGTCCGGACACACGGCTCTGCCGGGTGGGAAGCGGGATCCCGAGGATGCAGATGACCTAGCCGCTGCCGTCCGTGAGACAAGAGAAGAAATAGGCTTAGATTTGGACAGCGCCGAATGTTTGCGCGCAGGCAATCTGCCCGAACGACTCGTCACCACCTCCTGGGGCAGAGATGTCCTGATGGTTCTGTGTCCTTATGTCTTTATCATGACTGGCAAAACAGTCCCTCCGGTCCAGCCACAGCCTACAGAGGTCGCCTCAATCCATTGGGTCTCGCTCCGCGCACTCCTCTCGTCCACCCTGCGTACAAGGGAGTCAGTGGACATCTCGAGTCGAATGGCCAAACGCGTCGGTCCTTTCATACACAAGATGATCCGCATGACAATGGGTAAGATGATGTTCAGCGCAATCCGGCTGATCCCCACCGAGTCTGTCTACGCCAGTTCCATCCCAGGCTTCATCCCTACGGAGGGCGGTGACAATCTATCCCCCGTGTCTGGTTGGGCGCAAGCACCATTCGGTGTACCCTCATCGTCGCGATCCCTAAGCTACCAACAACCCATCCTGCTTTGGGGCCTCACTTTAGGGGTCCTAGCCGACCTTCTTGACCAGCTCCCGCCTTACAACGCCGTCAAATTGTGGAAATATCCCACCTTCACGGTCCCCGATCTCCGTCTCATAGTCTACCTCATGACACTTTCCTTCCGGAAGAACACCGCCGAGACATTCTCCTCGGGATCTTGGCCGAGCCAAACGGCCGTGGACTCCGCAACTCAGGCGACGGCCGTAGCAACTTCTGAACCTGTACCCACCGTTACGGAAGCGGAGCCCACTGATCTTGCAAAGCAGCCCGCCTTCAACAAGGACAGCGTCGGCATCGGCGGCTTAGGCGTGGGTTCCGACCCGCAGTATGCAGTCGGAAGATTGCTCTGGGGCTATTACGACCGAGTCAATGTGGCCATCGCGGTCTTTTTGGCATATAGAGCGGCGGCCACGGCTGGCATTGCATTTTGGGCCTACAGGTTCTGGAAGAGACGAAGTGGTGCATATCTGTGAAAGAACAAGATTTTGTTGTATGGGTTTCCGAAGATGTCCTCTTTGAACACCCGCGGCTTAATAGAGTTTCTCACCCTTGGAAGAGTTTCGGACAATACCCTTTTGCTATTTATTATCAATCGGCCCGTGCATACATATTCTTTATTTTGTGGAATCAAGGTGTTCTGATACGCCCAAGACTTGACATAGTGTGTCAACTAGCGCTAGTTAACAACATAAGAAGATCAATCTTAGAGGGCATATTGAACACGGTATATACAACAGCTCGTGAACAATAATCTCGACATGAACGACATGAAACTTTTCCAATTCTAAGCACCTTTTCGTCCGTGCCCTCATGTCTTGTATGGAGTCTTGGACCTCAATTCTTCGAGGAAATGAACCGAAAGGACAACAAGTCCCACCTCCTGCTCATCCTTGCTGCATTCGCTGTCTAAGTTGTGTGCGTACGCGCATTCTCCCAACGTCTCAGTTCGGGACCATCGACAATCTCTAGTTCCCAGTTAGTATCTACAATGATCCTGTCATCCTCATCCCTGGTCGTGCGCATCCAGATCGTGCCCAGAACAAGTACCACGACTCTCCAGATGGACTACGTGAATGTCAGGACTCAGAGGGCCAGTGCCGGCAGCGGGAGAGACTGCGATGTGTGGGGAGAGTATTAGAGGGGGTTATGAGAGAAAGAAAAGTTCCACTGGGCTTCATACCGCGATTTCCAGAGGTGCTGAAGTGGTAACGTTTTGATCTTGATTGAGGACGTGGTGGTGGGGAAGGTGTGCGTTCCTGTGGATTCTCATGATGGAAGCATTCGTGGATAGCGATCAAGCGCTGGCTGTATGTTGAAGCACGTGGTTCGGCAACTGTCACTCGTCTCGAGGAGGTCGTGGATTCAGGACGCTTCTGGGTCTAGACTGTTGTTACTCTGACAAGATTGTAGAAGTCGAGACGCTCCTGCGTCGTTTTGGGAGCTTGGTACACTTTGAAGTTGAGGTCATGATGGAGGATTTTGCCTGTCGAATGAGGAAGTCAGCTTGTTTCCGTTGCCAACCTCATCTTTCTTGTTAGGAGATCGTCATCGAGAGTGAGATCTATTTTATTGTCACCACAGCGAGGAATATCGTCGGTAATTCCAATAGATCTCGTCATGAAGACTAGTGCGGGAACCAACGAGCTTACCTTTGGTCAGGCGGCGATGCCGCTGCAGTGTAGTGTTGCGACGAGCTCAAACAAGGTTGATCGCGCGCTTGAACTTGGTGTGCCGTCTTGAGAGGATTATGTGGGAATTGGCCAGGTTTCTCTGCTTCTCTTTTAAATTCTCTTCTTGAAATCCTTCTGGAAAGGCTTTCTTCTTCTCACGCTCCATAGACTTGACCACTTTGACATCGTTCATCACATTGTCCCTAGGCTCGCTCTCACTTTTCCGACTTAGCCTCGACGGGGTCGTCTTGTAAACCATGTAATGGCTTTGCAAAATATACGTCCTCCAGTGTTCAGGTTGTTCAGACCTATGTTAGCTACTTACCTCTGATCGAAGTTGATGTGCCGCCGCATCGTCCGTCGTTAAGATGATTCCGCACACTCGGTCTGAGCAGGATTGACAGTCCTCCTGCCTACTCTGGCCAGTCAATCCGTTGGCAGATTACTCCTTTGGCCTTGTCGCTATCTTCTTCCTCCTCATTGCACACATCGTACTTCTGTGCGCACAAGGCTGTCGGCTTTACTTCGGCCCCACCTTCTGCCCCTTTTCGGACCTGCTAATATGTCCCGTTTTCCAATTTTCCTATCACGGTCATTTTCTTCCTCTCTCTGTATCATACAGATATATAGGCAACACTCTTAACCATTCACACGACGCTGCTGTCACAGTCATCAAGTGTAGATCTCTGTCCGTATTATGCCGGCTGAATGATCAGAAGCGACACTCCCGACTTGTGATCCGAAAGTCGTGATGCGGGCAGATTCTTGGCAGTTGAAAGAACAAGTCTGAAATTGAATCATTGTCCCTTCAAATATCCAAAAAGTATTGCGCTAGTGTGGACTTCAGAGAATGGCGCCACTGCAGAAGGCCGCACGATGTCCGTACAGGTATGTGAAGCCCGGTACGGCCGCGATCATTCCAGCAAACTGCGATGTTCTACCCAGCCGCAGTACTCTTCCCTTCCGTGATGAGGCCCTCCAAAGCATCCCATCGTCTCTGCTCTTTCTCAGAGCTCTAAATTTTCTGTCTCACTTTGCTTCCAGTCTGGGTCCTTTCTCACCAACCCGGGCTCTTTCATGCTCTCTCGTCCACCTTCATCATTCGCCTAACATCGATTCTCACCTCTCTACAAAGAATTACCTTCTCGTTGTCTACTATTCAACCCCTCTCCAACGTCGGTGTTGTCATTCCTGAGTCGCAATGCCTGTGAGGATCAATTGGGGTCAGGCCGAGGAGATCACTGTAATTGATAGACACAATGTTCGATGATCCAGCTAATGGTCAATAGCTCCTACAACGAGCCATCGCTTGTGATCGAAACTTCAAATTCAATGTTCAGGAGATCGTCCGAACCTGGCGTATGCTTCCCCTGCCCCCAACCAACTCTTATATCACATCCTGACGTCGTATTTAGCAGTTGCCAACCCCAACGAGAAGCCCACAGAGAGAGCCATTCAGGACAAAGTCAGAGCTATCAAAGCACGTACTCAAGATATCGAGAAGATGAGACAACTCCACGAGAAGAAGTTCAAGCTGAAGGCTGAGAACGACAACAAGTTCAAGCAAGAGATGGTCAGTGAAGGAGAAGGAAGTGTTCATGTCAAAGATGAGGATGATGATTCTATCGACACCCAACCACCTGTTGCAAACAAACGAACTAACAAATCCATTCGAACCTCTCTCATTAGCCGAATCAAAGTTAGCAAAGACACTCCAGGCACCACGGCACGTATGGGAATCAAAAGAAAGCGTGGCAAACGAGCTGATCCTGCGAGCGAGATGTCATCTGCGTCTGCCGCATCTGACTATGACTCTGACTCAACTATGGACTCTCCTACACCACTTCCACGAAAGGATCTACCAAAACGCGAGACTCGCGTCTCTTCAGCTCTCAAGTCAGCTCGGACTCCAAGGTTGAGTGACATCGACGATGCAGATGCAGACGCTCGCGACATAAGCGACGATGACTCGGATGAAGACTATGACTACGAACAAGAGAAGCGTGATCGAAAGGGGAAGGAGGCTAAGCGAGCACGAAAGGCCTGATACACCATTCATGTCGTGGATGATGAGTAATGGACAATAAAATGACAAATGCCGTCGGAAGTTGTTTCGAAGGACATCAAATGGATTCGTACGTTGGACTCTACAATGGACACCGAGGAAATCACTAGGATAGCAGATTGCAATTTGCAATTTGAGCTTCAGGAAGATTTCGATGAATTCAGTACGGTTGTATTCGATGACCTCCTACGTATAACACCAATTTAGGTTGAATTTTGGGTGGATATCCTTCTCACCAGCTATGCAGACCTTGTTGGAATTGGCACGCTGGCATCGATCTGGGATATCTACAGCGCCATTGGAACCCCAACATAGAGCTTTGGAAGCAAAAGAAATGGACTCAGACCGAGCCCTATTCTATTTTACTTGTTGGAGGAGGAAGTCACCTCTTTATATCGATAGAGAAAGTCGCAACAGACAAGCAAGTATCCTCATGGAGTTGTCGAAGCTGCCTCCCTTTCGAAGAATACCGGCCCGCGTGAAAACATGCAATTCTCCCCTTGGCTTGAACACATTAAGAAGGAACGCGCCATCGAGGGTCCCAAGATGTCTCTGGCTCTCACATTTTCAGTATAGAGAACATGCATCGAAGGAACACAAGTAGCCAGCGCTGCATCGGGGCTTGCTACCCTAAATTCTCCCTCTCTCCCTCTACTGCGAACCTTAGTCCACTTGCGTACCGTACTGCAATTTTCTGCCAGACATGAACAAAAATCGTGAGATTGTGGGACCTCGAGGAATATTGAGGCAGGCCTTGATAAGGGAACCAACACATGTTTACCATACTCTTTGCGTAAAAAGTTGCGGCCGAGAAATGCGCCTCCTGTTGAGGCGACCCTACCCTTTCGGGTATGTTGATCAAGCTTCTCCACCGAACTTTCAAATGCTATTGCCTACATTCTGCAAGGACATCTCCAGCATTTTGACAGATCAATATGTGGCTGAAAGGTAATGACATCCGATCATTCAGATACTCACCGTTGTTACATTCGCTGAATTGACCTCTGTTCTGAGCGTTGTGATGTCGAAGCTCGACTATTACTAGCCAGACTCAAGCGGGCATCCTCAGTCGAGGTTTCTGACAACTACAGAGGACGCTCTACCTAGTCATACCTTGATGAGGTATCAACAGGCAATGCCATGCAAAACTTGTGACCACTAGTAGGGCCACTAGCGATATCTTATAACAATATGAGAAGACCGAAATCCACAAGCGGGCGATATGGGAATAGGGGGAAAAAAACATCGGTGATCCAAGACTACAGAGCCCAAGCTATTTGTTTTGCTTTATCGCCGATATCATTTCCACATTGTGCCATCAGCCCACATCATCTTCATCCACGGAATGAATGCCTGCATCATCCTTATCAGTTCCTGCAGCACACTCCCATATTTATGGACTCGTGTTGAGACTGGTCGAACTCGGATTTTGGGCAAATGTCCATTGGCAATGCCACCACAGCTGACTCGACTGGTTGAGCCTGCGGATTGACACATCTGACTCCCTTGGGACCATGGACTAAGTGCCTCTTCTTCGGGCTATTAGGACGATTCCGCTGGAGAGCCCCCGAATTCACGACCTTGATGTCAATGTTGTAACGCTTTCGAATCGCAGTGAACTTTGGCGGAACGCTTGACAAACTCATACCGAGTTGCTTTGCAACCTTTTCGGCGTCCACCTGATGATTTCCTTAGCTGGATCCTGACATTCATTTATGTGCGGATTCAACATACCTGGATGGGGCCAACGGAGCTCTGGATTGCAGCAATGAGGACTGAAATGTCGGTTTCCTTTACCTGACTTTGAGCCATGTTGATAAAAGTTCGTCGCGGATCTTTCTGATTCTTGTGTCCGAAGGTGGACTGGTAGATATGGAATTGCTGTGAGGATGCAAATTGGATTTTCAAGGTATGAAGCCAGTCCCCGGGGCGCTCAAGACCTTGGTTGGCTTTTATAGTTCCAAAATGTTGGCCCAGAAATCCGGACAGAGGTCCCAGGCCCCGAGGGGGGAGCGGTGGACAGGTTCTCTGCAGGCCATGAAACCATTTCAACAAAATACCCCGCTGATACCGTCATTACATCTGTCTTCGTAAGTGACCAAATCCCCTGGACGACGCCGTCGAAATGCACCATCTGTCATGATTCGTTCTCACCGCCGGTTCCTCGTATATTATACTTCGATAAGGCCATTCTCCGGAACTAGCTCGGTCAAGTCTACTTGTGAACTACGGATTTGCTTGAGAACCCTAGCCGCCAACCAAATACAGGTGCCCGGCATTCCCCTGTCTATAAATTATCTATTTCTCCAAAAGTTCTCCTCCTTCGATATCGGCCATATCGGAGTCTTCTCTTGACTCTCCTCATTTGAACATCCTCTAGTCTGCCTCCGCTCATTGGACAACAGCTATCATGCCTAGTCCCTGGAACGCCTCGACTGAGCGGAAATTGCTTTTGTGTCTCATCGATCCTAAAGCTACCCCTCGCTGGCAGCTCATAGCCCAGAGTATGGGTCCACATTTCTCGGCGGAAGCATGCCGGTTCGTTCTTCTCCTTCTTTCCACCTGATCTCGGCGTATAATTGTACCTGTTTCCCTCGATTTGTTTGCTCCATCATACTTCCTCCACACCTCCTTCATTCATCAGTGCTTCAAGCTTGACTGTCATTGTTTGTGTACAAGTAAACTATATTCCAATCATGCCATACCAATGGACTGCAGAGCGGGAACGCCGCATGCTTCTTCTTGCCATCTCCTCAGCAAATCTCAGACCTTCTACGGATACCTGGACGACTGTTGCTGCTCTTTTGGGCGAGGGCTTGACTGCCTCAGCCGTGAGGTCTGAAGCACCATTCCTTGTCGTTTTCTCCATTGAATCAATGATGTTCACTAAATGTCTGAATGTTGCTGACGTCTGAACAGTCAGAAGTACTATAAGCTGAGGAACGAGTCGGCAAGGCTCTTTGAGGGCCAGTCTGGCTCGACACCTTCAACACCAGCCAAGCGAAAAGCCTCCAACGACGAAGAGGAAAAAAAGATGCCTCCATCAAAACGGGCTAGAAAACCAAAGAGAGAACCTCTGGATGGGGAGCCATTCTCAGATGCTAGCAACAGCCCGACCGACCTGAAAGTGGAGGGTGTGGCAATGAACGCCTTCAATCCCTTTCCCAGTTTCAGCCCACAATCCATACCTGGAGATTTCTTTATAGCGGTAAACGGTCAAGTCAAAGCAGAGAGTAGTGGGAATGCAAGTTTCACGGGCTGATGGGTGGACATAGCTTAGGAGAGGTAAATTGGGTGTGAGGGAAGGGAAATGGGTAGAGAGGGGGTGGGAAGTTGGTACGCCAGTAGATCGAAACCGGCGAGAAAAGCTCTTGAAGCCGGCAGGATTATTGGGAGAAATTTGAGGACGCCTGGTCATCAATCTGCAACGACGGACTGCGGGAAGGTGGATCCCGCTGAAGCATGTACACCAATTCGAGACCATTCACGCGGCATGGATTCAATTCTCCCAGCCTCTGAATTTTCAAACCATGTATAAACATGTGTGGCTGGCTCTGTGCAGGTAGCCTTGCCGTCCATTTTGTCTGTCGTTTTAGCCTTTTTAGCGTACAATTAGCGCCCGTCTTGGCGGAAAGTCGCCCGCGAGAACTTGACATCGCTCTCAAACCCCCCCTTCCTTCTTCTGAACCACCCTTACCGCTACGATTACCTATGAATAGGTCGTAGATATCTGCTCCTGAGTGGTCGGAATTGTGTGTCTGTCACTTTGATATCTCTCTGCTAGCCATTTGGCTCGCCATGATGGCCGCCGCAAAGGGAGATGCCGTCCATCCGCGCCCGAGGAGGGCGGAGCGGGAATTCCTGTAACAGGGAAGGACTACTGCACACCCCCCTCTTCGCCACCTGCACTGTTCTTCTTTCATCAGATACCATTTTCAGCCTGCGGTCATTCTATGAAGCTAACCTCATCCCCGGTTACACGACATCTCCCTTGGCGTTGGGCTGATTTATCCTCCCATGCTAGAACGGCAAAACTTCAGGGCGATCGGGGCTAGGGGCTGTTGGCCACCTGTGTGAACTTGGAGCGGTATTTTTTTGGCCTCGAGCATGATGGCAAACCGGGCTGCCCCTGCGAAGACATTAATGCTGGACGAGAAAGTTTGAATAGCCATCTAAGCCATCCAAAGTTCTGCAGATTGATGAGTCACTCTCTTTCACACTCCTTTTCTATTCCAAGAGCTTCCCAACCTCCCGTATTCTCCGCAGGTCTTCGGGCACATGCTCTAACTCTGGTCATGCGGCTATAACCATTTATTCTCTTTTCCACACAAGCCCCTTTGTTACTTTCTGATACTATGACACTTTCCCAAACCATTACAAATCCCATCCGTGTTACCTCTTCCATCTCAACCAAACATCACCCCTCACGCACGAAACAATGGCTCTAAAACTAACCAAAGAGCCTGAAACAGAGTCAAAGAACGTCATCAAAGACGCAATATACCTCTTCGACCTTCTTCGTGAATCTCCTTTGCCAATCTTAGTATGCTTACTCATCCCTCGCCTCGCTTCTCCTTCTCTTCATCCCAATTCTTCCCATGTTTGTCGCCTCACGCTCCCATTACCACTCTACTAATAGTCTGCCGATACATAGATTCATATTGGCGCCTACGCAGCTAAGACTGGAGCAAAACCAAACACCATCGTCAAACGCCTTGGAGACATCAAGAAGCGCAACCGATTGAACATCATCACAACGACACAAGGTGATTCTAAGACTACTCTCCGTAGCAATGACGATGGCAAAGCCAAGGTGAAACCCAAGAGAGAAACCGAGGCCAAACCAACCAAGGCCGAGCCAAATGAGGGCAACGTGAAATTGGAGGATAATGATGACGGTCTCGATCTTGGTCACGGTCTGAACCTTGGAATTGGTCTCCCGTCTCCAACAGACTCTACAGCCAGTAGTATGGATGTCGGTACTGGCATGGTTCACAAGCAGATGCCTCAGAAGCGACGCTTTGTCGATGCGCTCAAGGAGGAGGATAAAGGTGATGGTATGCCGGCCAAAAAGTTGAAGGCGGAGTTTTGAGCTGGTACAGAGTGTATTTCTGCAAACAAAAGGCCAAAGTCCTCAGTTTGAATACTCATTACCTAGATTTCCGAGCTGGAATTGGACAAGAAGTTGGAAAACCAAAGTCTTTTTGGAACGAAGGCAAAGACATTAGTATTGAGATACTGAGAATAGGATATTGCTGAAAACGAATATATAGCTATGAAACAAACTAACCAACCAAAGCTTTGATTTGCTTGTATCCAATGGGACTGACATGGATGGTGGCAAAGCCGAATGAATCAATGAATCAATCCAATGCAATGAATATCACTTCTTCTCCCGTATCCTTACCCTTTTTCCGCCTAACTTGGTTCCATAGCGTCCGACTATCGACACTAGGCCCAGGTCTTGCAGTGGAAGATGGAATATTTCCTGAAATTAATGTCGGCGGTGAAGACGCGGTGGTTTGAGACTGTGCAGGCGCATTACCGCCGCTATCAACTTGCGGGCTAGGCAAGGGATTACTATCCGCACACTTCCCGGCAGAGTTCGCCAGAGAAGCAGCCTCTCGCTGCATGCAGCCCATCAACTGGATCATCATCTCGGTGGAGCGCATGATCTCGGCAAGTTCGGCTGGGGAGAATTTTGGCTCGCAGTTGGTCTTCGAACTTGGTTGCTTCACGTCTGGAGAGGTGAGGGTGCCTATCTCTGTCTGCGCCGTCGTCGGGCGTGATTGTATGACGGTTGACAACTCTGGACACGGCCGAGGGTAATTATGTGACGGCTCCGACGGGAGGGACAAGGCGCGGTCTTTGCCTTTGTGAAAACTCTCGCTCATCTCTGAATGAGGAACTGGCGCAGTACTTTCGAGCCCTCTTTCTACAGGCACGGGGGAGCTGTTAGGGGTGCCCCCTCGGACGTCGATTGTATCCATTGGCGACTTTTGTCGATTATGATCGTAATTCGGTAGTTGACTATGATTGATGCTGTCTCTTTGCGCTTTGAATTCGGAAGTCTCACCATTCAAGAACACTTGATCTCGATTTTCCACGCTTCCTAGTCTTAGCGGTTGAGACGGCACAGATGTGGAATGATGTTGGCCAACTCTGGGAACTGTAGTGACTTGGGCAAGTTTGGCGCGGCCCTTAGATACCTTGATTGCGTTCCTGAGGTTGTGAAGGTGTTCTTTGCTCATAGATTCGTGCCGCTCAAGGTCTTCTTGGTTGGGAAGTTGGCTCAAACACAGTGCACAGCGGTATTGACCTTGGTTTGTGACGTAGCCAAATGATTCCGGTTTTGGTGTTCCATCGGAGCCCTGTTGTAGTGACTGAGCATTGCATGTATTCATTGATTCATCGATGGTTGAGTAGGGTCGTTTACTCCTGTTGTTTCCCTTCTCAGAAACCTCGTGAGAATTTTGGCTCGGCGCGGTAACGTATGAGCTCGGTCCTGGGTTTGGTGGGGGATCTGGAACTGCGGTGGAATTGGTTGGGTCCTGAGTTTCTGTCGACTGAGCCAAACTACTGCCAGTATCATGGGTTACAGCGGGCTGTTTGTTGGAAATAGTTGCGCAATATATAACGTCCTCATCTGCGGAAGACATTTGCGACGCTGCAATCACCCGAGGACGCTTCGCTGGTGCCCGTAAAGAATGAGCGGGATGGGTCTTAGCTTCGCGCTCAGTCACGATGCTGATATCCTCGTCGTTAAAATAGAGGAGCGGGGGACGCGAAGGCCCCGCAGGTTCTCTGTGTGGGATCCCTTTGCCTGAACCGTGATGTTCAGGATTTTGAGCTTTGAGTTGCGCGGCCCCTTTCGAAACTTCTTTGGCGAAGAAGGATTTAATGGAATCATAGGTGGCATCTGGACCGAAGTATCTCGCAATTGACATGTAACGGCCCTTGAACTAGCCCTTGTGTAAGTACCATGGCCTCGATTTGAACGCTGAGAGTACCTACAGCTTCTTCACCTAGCTCAGCGTAGACAGCTGCCAGTAGCTGGAAGACGGTCTCACGTAGCTTCCAATTGATAGCCATGCCGAATGTTCAAATGATTGAGATAGAGGGAGCACCTGGATGCCTTTGAGCTGGGTGAGCCGACAAATAGTGAAATGAACTTGGCCCGAGGATTCCAGTTGGCGGTAATTTCAGGAGCGGAATGGTAGCAGACTTGGTCGATCCGAGAAGTCTCTAGAAATGGGGTCGGAATCTGGGTGGGTAGAGAGTATGACACGCCCTAGGGAAAAAGAAGTTGGACCGGATCAGGTGCGCATTAGATATCAATCGTCTCTACCTGCCTCGATTTTGTTGCGAGCATCTCCTGGTCAATCATTGGGAATAACCTGCATCCGAGGGAATGCCGGGAAGTTCGCTGCGGCACGTCGGGCCAGTCATCGCATACAACGTGCAAGAGCTGAGACGCCAAGTTTGAAGGTCCATTGGAGTCTGCATCGAGACATTAGGGCGAGGACACAGGGGTGCACGAGGAGTGGAGGAGGAATGGAAGTTGGTGGGTCATGTTCGTGACAGACTCAGAGACGAGGCTGCAGCTGCAGCGGCCTTTCTTGGCGGAGGCAGTTTTCACTTTTTTGTCATTACAAAAGTGGATCATCCGCCATTTCAAAAGACATCTAGCAGCCGGCGATTAGCAAGGCAACAGTGATTGGAAGCCCAGAATATTGGCTGGCACAGAAAGGGCACATCGATATGCCCTGGACAGAATTTTGACAGAGGGTTGGGCTCCTAGGTCCTTGTTTGTCCGCTGATAGAATATCCCTTGTCCATGAGGCAGATGACTTCCCCCCTCCCAACCCCCAACTTGTTGATCTCGCTGTACGAGGAGTTAATCTCACTTGATTGTCGTTCCATCGGTCCGGGTTAACTGCCTTTGTCTTGCAAGAGCCTCGGGTTTGGTCTGCATGGCATTGGTTTGCATTTCTCTTCGACGCGAAGAAGAGCCGCTGCTAGGCTGTCCAAGACAGCACAAACCGGTCTCTCCCTACCATCCCACGAAGATTTCAAGGCACTGCCTCAAAGGCAAGAGCCTCAGAGTGAGACTTGTTTAGCGGATGGAAGGACGATGTTCCCAGAAAGAATTGAAAATACTGAGCACATGACGTCAGAGAAGGTTACTATTATCAGCAAGCTGACACATGGAACTCTCAAGGAGCTGTCTGGATGGTGTTATCACGATATCCAAGAATCTATGTAGCCATCCACACTCCCAATACACAGAAATGTTGTCAGATGATTGAGATAGGATCGTCATCACCGTCCTGTAATTCTGCACTGGCAGGACAACATTGCGATATGAAATATTAGATTGGTACCATATACCGTCGGGATAATGGGTCGTGACTGATATTGATGTGTTCCAGCATCCATTCATGGCTATTCTTAGCTCGTTGCAAAGGTTCCACATACTTGAAGGGCGTAGCGTTACAGAGTAAAGTAGAGTATAAGAGCAACTAGGCCTTGTTTGAGCTTGTGAGAGAAGTGGATGGGGAGGGCCTTAAGCAATATTGACCTGGGCTTGAGAAAGACATCCAGCGGGTCTCCATCAATGTACTCCTAGTCATGAACACAAAAATCTGCTTTGCATTGTGAGTGTTTGGTTGTTAGAGCGCTTTATGGTGGAATCGAAAAGATATGAAGGCGTGGGAACCTGGGCAATGATCTAAATGACAGCCATGCAGTCCATGTAACATTGACTAATCGCGATTGGAGGAGGCGTGAGAGCAATGTGCTCCTCGCAGGCGATTCGAAAGGTGTCATTTGCGGGTTTGGGATGTCTGTCTTAATGTCAGAAGGCGCCCCATGACATTGGCAGAGGAGATGTGTAGTCTGACCAGGCGGAGGCGTAGAGCTTCTCCGCCCATATAGGCTCCACCCCTTCCTCCCGAAACGAAAAAGGCAAAGATAGGACTGAGATCGCTAGAGACATGCCGGGCTCGTGGAGAAGGAACGAGGGAATTGAATGTAATGGCCACTTTGGCATTCTGTGTCCAGCTCTGTAAAAGCTCATGGGGTTGTATGATCGAGCAATGCAAATTTCTTTTGCTTGTGTGAGGTGATTCATGAGGACAGGATGTAGCTAGGCTACTCCGTCAGAAGGCAATTGATTTCATCTCCTCAGTGCCATGTCAACTTGTTGTGCTGCCCCCCCCCCTCAAAAAAGGAGCAAAGACCTTCGTGCCCACTCCAAGACTACCTATTTCCGTCCAGGTGAGATCAAGTTGATCGATCTTCAGTGGTCTTCCAGTCTCCCTTCCGGTCAGGCCGTGGTATTCTGATAACACCAAGTCAATATCATTTTAGATCTGATCCAAAAGACTTAGACATACCGTAGCCGGAATGACGCTACTCATCCTTCTCTCCTGCGTCGTCCTGCTCGACCTTGATATCGACGCCTTCTGGAGTCTTCGGTTCTCCCTTGATGTCGTTATTCGGTTCGGTCGCTAACTTCTTTGCCTTCTTCACCTTGCTTGAGGCTGGAGTCTCGTCATCGTTCACATCGGTGTTCTTCTTGCGTTTGGTTCCACCAGCCTTTCCTACCGGCTTCGTGCTTGGGGTTGCAGGAGCGGTGCCAGGAGATCCATCGGTTTCGAGGAGCTTCTCGGATTCCCTCTTGAGTTTGTAGAACTTCTGGCTGTAACACAGATATCAGTATCTTGGCCGGTCCACAAAATGAGCACACAATAGTGAATAAAAATGAAGTCAATATAATCTAAGAGACTGTTCGAAGAGAAGGTATTGTCTGCGATGATACCTGCAAGCGCTGCCGTTGAGTCCTCCACCTAGTTTCTCAGCAACGGCAGGCCATATCGAAGTTGCGGGAGGTGTCATTTCACCGATGACGCAGAGGAGCAAGTCTCGCTCGGACGCAACATCCCATTTGAACGGCATGATGAGCAGGGGGCAGTGGTTGATAAAGAAGAGAATATGGTTGAGTTGAGTGACGAGGAACGCTTCTGAAGGGACGAGGATGTTTGAAAACGAAGATGTTTGAACGAGGGAAAGAGATTTGACGTAGATGGAATGAGAAGAAAGCAGAAGTGAATGAAATGACGGTGAAATCGGGTGCAGCTCTGGCAAGGATGGAAGACATGTATGATATCAAAGGAAGAAGGTAAGGCGTGCAGGGCGTATGATAGACAGACCGGCAGGCTTGTGAGGTGAATTCTGTTCCCATCATCGTCGTAATGAATTTCCAGTTTGGCTTGACATTGGCATCGATCAAGCAGAGGAGGAGCTTTCGTTCGGTTGTTTCATTCCAGGGACTCATCTTTGCGATGATATTTTCGCTTCCTATGGAGAGTTTTCAAAATGATGAATTGGTGGGAGGGATCGTCGTAGCGGAAGAGTGAAGAGAGAGTGGTGCGTGAGAGAGATAGATGTAAGCGTGGGCATAGGGTAGAAATATCTGATAGTTGGCTGCAGAAAGGTAATGTATACGGGGAGACGACCAAGGAGATTCTCACCAACATTGGTCAGTTCTGGAGTCCTGCTTTCACTGCGTGCTTGCGACAACGCCTTTACCAAGGTTGATATCCTGATTTGCCAGGAAATGGAGACTAACATTATCTTACCCAGCTGGATCAGACCGACATTGACACAACGAGACAAAGGAGAAAGAATCTTCAGCAGCGCAGACAACACAAACAATGAAAGAAGAGAAACGACATGCCACAGCAGCGCAATGAGATAGCACTCACCGACAAGTACTCTATGTCGGTCCGTTTCCCGGTTTTGTAGCGGCTACCTCAAACCTCGCACGAGATACGTTGTCTGGGAATTCGATGATGCTGAAGAGCAAGAGCTCCTCAGCAAGCTCCAATCTCCATTTGGGTCTCAAAAATCCTCCGGTCTCCTACTTTCATGCTTGTACTCTGAGGCCACGGCACCAATTGTGGTTGTACTAGACGCCTTTCCATTCATCTGCATGGCGAGTCCATCCTACGATAGCTGAGAAGCTTTCTCAGGATCGAGGACACTTTCCTCATGCCCTGCAAAATTATAGACTAAGTCAGAATCAGAATATTCTTTCCCCTTGTCTGTTTCCTCTGAGACTCCAGGTCTTCGCTCCAATGGCACCATTCCAGGTAATTTCCCAACCCTGCGTGCTGCTTGGGGTGTTCACCGTCCAGGAAACAACCTCCGTGTCTGAATTCGATTGAATCCTCTTTTGAGCTGTTTACTGACTTCAGAAGGGATTTGGTGATACTATGAGTCACGGGAATGACACTCTCAGATTCTTTGCTGAGAGCCTCGAACTGATGATTGCTGATTGTGATATAGGAGCTGAGCAACGTGTGTTCTTCTTGAAGTTCTCGAACGCTTTCCGCAATTTTGTAGTTTCCGTCGTGCAAATCAATGAACTCCTCTTCATTGACCGCGGCTAGCTATATGCTTTGCGGAGATGATATGATGTAAAGACTGTGCAAGAGATGAGTGCTTTCTACAATCCTCCGAAAATTGTCAAAATGTCAGCTGTAATAGCCGGAAGCGGACGCGTCTCCACGTACCTCTGGCTCACATTAGATTGTCCACAGCCGGGATCGTGAAAGTGGCTGCATAGACGGGATTCGGCGGTTTGCGTTAGAAAATTTGCTGAATCGAGGGAAGGGCCCGGACAGTTCAATTCAGATGTGCCTTCATCACCTGCTGGGTTTGCATATCTTCAACTGAGCTGATGAAAGAAACGCCGCCCCATGGAACTTTGGCAAGGTGATATGGCTAGTTTTTGAATAGAAGCAAACAGCCGACTCGTGGCAAGGATGGATTTCAATCGATTTCATTTTGAAAAATGATGTATCTGGTTCTCTTGTGCGGTCGTCCGCAGCTGCCATGGGTATGGTCCTGTACATCCCAGCAAGATCTTCGTTGTCTGTTGGAGTATTTTCCAGAGATGGCCTTCGCAAGGGGTCGAGATTCACCCCATTTCCCGCACGCGTTGACCTGAGAAGCGAGGGGGCAAACGTGCTCGGCCTGGGTGTCGCGTGCCTTAGTGATTTGAATTGCACGTTCATATGTCCAATCTTCATGAGCAAAGAACCTTGTAGACAATAGCCCTAGCGATTCTCATTGACGTGACAGATTCGTGGAGTCTTCACGGCTTTGTCCCTGACATAAAACTAATTTTGACGGGAGGCAGCATTTTCGAGTAGGGAAGGATGTTGCTGTGAACATGTTCGAGCGAGGAAAGGACTTGTTCACTAAAGAGGAAGCAGGAATAGGGAAGCTAGGATATTGAGTTCGATTGTAGCTGGCTGGTCAACAGTCCCAGAGCCGAAACTTGGGCGTCATCGATCAAAAGACTGAACTAGGGTATAAGAAACGCGAGCGGTGTTGCTGGCGCATCTCCCTCCTACACGATGTTGACTCGGACCCCACTATCGGCTGGACCCTCTCGCGGGCCCTACTACACCCTGCGCCCATCATCCTCCCACCATCTCGAACCATTATCCCGCTGCCTACCTTGCAATACAAACAGGGCTTTCTCCTGCGCCATAATCCACAAAATAGGTACGTAACATTTGGTACAGCAAAGACTTGAAGTTGTCGATGCTTAGTTTGTTATTCCCTCCAAATCCCCAAATCACTTGTGTCTTCTTTCATCCCACATTCCTCTTAAGCACGCTATCTCATCTTCTCCGAAACTGACAGGAACGTCAGCCTCAACTTGAAGTCGCACAATCGTCAAGATCTTCACGTCGCAGCCATGGTATGTATCTTGACCCATCCTGCCCGTTCTATCTCGGCTGACTACCTGATAGCCTGTTTCCGGGTATGTCTCGCAGCCTCTTTGATCAGTCGATCATTCCTCTCCCTTGCGCCTCCGTTCTTCTCTAATCCCTCCAATCTTCCAGACTTTCTGTCAACCCGGACTGCGTCTCTGCGTTCAATGAGCTGAAACTTGGCCGTGGGGGCCCGAAGTACATCATCTACAAAATCTCCGATGACCAGAAGGAAATCGTGGTGGATGAGATGGGCAAAGAACCTGATTATGATACTTTCAGAGAAAAGCTCATCTCCAAAAAGGAGTCGAGTGGCAAGGACAGACCCTCATATGCCATCTACGACGTAGAATTCGAGCTCGAGGGTGGTGAGGGAAAGAGGTGCGTGCATGAAGATACTTGCTTGTGAGGGAGGCCGTGCGTGCTAAATTCAGCTGTCAGATCCAAGATTGCGTTCATTACCTACATCAACCAAGACAACACTGGCGTCAAGGTATGTCCAAGCCCCCTTTTTGCACGATCATAGCTCATCCTGCAAGTCTCGCATGGTCTACGCTAGCTCTCGTGAGACCTTGAAGAATGCTCTCAACGGAATTGCCATGAACTGGCAAGCAAATGATCCAGGCGAGTTGGAATGGGCCGATTTGCTCAAGGAAGCCAGTAAAGGCAAAGGCACAATCTAAGATGGCCAATTCAATGTCTTGGACCACAACTCCCACGCCAGCAACAGGCAGCAGCGATGCATTTGGCGATATCCCAGCAAAGGGGCGTTTTCTCTGACGAGCCGAGTATGGTGTGCCAGTGTGTTGAAGATGCGCCGTTGGAGAAACCGGACATCGGATGCTGTGATGAAGATAGACCCTGCCACGTTGAACGATCCGAGATAGATTGGGTCTCGAGCAGAAATCAAAGCATTTTCCTATTCACAGAGCCATACCGGCTGCGGTTGAATCAACCTCGAATTCTTTTCTGCATGGATGGTCGCCATTCCACCCACATGAAGATAGCCTTCTGTGCAAGCACGCTAGCCCAGGCCGGTAATATCAGTGGCTCCGTGGGTGCTCATTACTGATCCATGACCGATGATGCCCATTGTCTCCTTTTCGTGTTCTGCAGTAACGGTCACTGGACCACTCTCCCACGAGCGTAGCAAGACCGAGTGTGAGACATATGTATGCTTTCCAGCATCAAGGGAAAAGAGAGGGTTTCCATCGGTGGTAGACATGATGCATTGAGTGCTTAGTGTCAGCAGTACGCAGCTAATACAACTTCAGGGCAATTTAGTGGTGTGACAGCCTGGAGAAAGGGATGTACGGAAGCGCTCCTGGCATGCTTTGATTTTGCCGTGGTGCCAAGACCGGACCGAGCTACCTCAGGTCGTTGAACTTTGGGTGTAACTAACAAACTTCAAACAATCATCCTTTCGCCCTCGAGCTCAACCCACCGTCGACACATTGCGATAGTGGCCCCGGAGCTGCAGGCTTCGGCAGGTTATTTAATTCTCTTCTCTCGTATGTGTTGAGTCAACTTTCACGCCCATCCAACACAATGCTTCTCCGCTCTCTACCCCGTGCTGCTCGTGCTTCAACGAGCAGCTCCAAAGCGTGCATGCGAATTGCTTCCTCCTCAAATCGATGCTTCCAGACTTCGGCGCGATCTATGGCTCCTGTTTTTTCTGCTACCTCGCAGCCTCCTATGACCAGCCAATCCCACGTCCGAACCGCTCATGCCATCTCTAACCCTACACTTGCCGGAATTGAAAAACGATGGGAAGCAATGCCACCACAAGAACAAGCCGAGTTGTGGATGCAATTGAGAGACCGTATGAAGGTAGATTGGCACGAAATGACTTTGCAAGAAAAGAAAGCCGGTACGGAAACTCTTTTTTTTATTGGATTGAAGATCGCTTGCGGCAATTCGATCCTTATTGAAGCTCAATACCCATGACACAAGAAGAACTTAACCATATCCTGAGGCGTGATTGTCTTTACTGACGTGCTTACAGCATGGTGGATTGCATTCGGACCTCACGGACCCCGAGCAGAAACCCCCCCGGGCGAATGGACTAAGGTGTTCCTCTATACAGCCCTTGGTCTTGCTGTGTCAGGAGTTTTATTCGTGATCGTCCAATCTTTCGCAAGACCACCACCACGAACCATGACCAAGGAATGGCAAGAAGCTACCAATGAATATCTCAAGGTGAGCCAATCTTTGCCGTGGCAACCGGCCGTCCTACCCATGTCCACCGCTTTGGTCTCCTCTCACCGTTTCAACAACATGCTGACATTTCCATGTGCAGGCCGAGAAGAGCAATCCTATTTATGGTGTCAGCAGTGAAGGATATACTGGCAAAGGCCATGTTCAGAGCAAGTCAGCCAAGGCTCAAGGCATCAAGCTGGAGCCAGATGAATAGACATTGGGCGACAGTAAAGCATTCGGTGGTGCGATGCACCACCGAAGTTTCCTTGTAACTGTGACTACTATCGTGAAAAGGCAGGATTCCCAGTTCTGTGAATACCAAATCAATATTTCAGTCCTGCTTCGACATTATGGCATCTGGCTTCGTGATATTGTACATAGATCCGCACAGACAGTGGTTGAACCCGATGGTGCTAAATTTTTCTTGAGCTCCAGCATGCTCCATTAAGCCAAATGGCCTGGTTAAAAGGTCATTGGAAAGGGCATTGGTAGAATAGGATGTTCCGGCAGACACTTTGTGCCGTAAAACAGATCCATTGAGCTTTTTGGGTCTTACCGTTTTAGGAATAGCCTATTCTGGCTCGGAAGGAAGCAGCTCTCATCCTCAATTCTACTACTTTCCTGCTCCTAAACCACACAGCTCTCCCCTCTACCTTTAGTCTTCACCTTCTTGTCATCTGCAAACATGCTCAAGAGGTTAGTGAGCTCATTCACTTGATCTATCAGGGCTTTGTGGAGCTGTTTCGTATCTTTGCTGACCTGATTGAACAGCGGCGTCGCTCGTAGCTTGGGCAGGTCTGCCTTTGCTCGACCTTCCTACACCCGACGCGCCTTTGAACCTCTTCGAAGACAAGTTGTTCCTGCTATTGCACAGAGGTGGGCCTCCACGGACTCTGCAAGAGATGGCAAGATCCATCAGGTCATTGGTGCTGTCGTTGACGGTATGGAAAAAAAAAAAAAAAAAATTCTCCTTGCTGAGCATTGGAACTCCCGCGAAGCTTGCCATCACACCCGTCATCGAAGAAACGGCATAAAGGGAGGCTGATGGATCTTTCTTAGTCAAATTCGACACCGAACAATTACCCCCTATTCTCAATGCGCTTGAGACCGATAACAATGGAAGCAAGTTGGTCTTGGAAGTTGCGGTACGAACACCTCGAGTCAATACTGGAGGTCAAAATTCATACTGACGGCCTTAGCAACATTTGGGCGAGAACGTTGTGAGATGCATTGCCATGGATGGTATGGGAAACTTCCTGTGACACCGTCTGTCTCCCACTCTGACATCTCTCAGGTACCGAGGGTCTTGTCCGAGGCCACAAAGCCACCGACACTGGCGCCCCTATCAAGATTCCAGTTGGCCCTGGCACCTTGGGCCGTATTATGAACGTCACTGGTGATCCCATTGATGAGCGTGGCCCTATCAAAGCTACCAAGATGGCTCCCATTCACGCTGATGCCCCAGAATTCACTGACCAATCGACGACTGCTGAAGTACTCGTGACCGGCATTAAAGTCGTGGATCTTTTGGCTCCGTATGCTCGCGGTGGAAAGATTGGTCTCTTCGGTGGCGCTGGTGTCGGCAAGACTGTGTTTATTCAGGAATTGATTGTGGGTGATACCCAAATTACACTGCTGTCAAGGGGGCCCGGTTACTGACCGTCTCAGAACAACATTGCCAAAGCCCATGGTGGTTACTCTGTGTTTACTGGTGTGGGCGAGCGGACCCGTGAGGGTAACGATTTGTACCACGAAATGCAAGAGACTTCCGTCATTCAACTTGATGGCGAGTCCAAGGTCGCCCTGGTGTTCGGTCAAATGAACGAACCTCCTGGGGCCCGTGCTCGTGTTGCTTTGACTGGATTGACTGTTGCTGAGTACTTCCGCGATGAAGAAGGGCAAGATGGTGAGTTTATGCCCGTCGTTGAGATTGTGCCTTGTCCACTGACTGCTTGCTAGTGTTGCTTTTTATCGACAACATCTTCCGATTCACTCAAGCCGGTTCCGAAGTGTCTGCTCTGCTTGGTCGTATCCCCTCAGCCGTCGGTTACCAGCCTACTCTCGCCGTCGACATGGGTCTGATGCAGGAACGTATCACCACTACTCAAAAGGGATCTATCACGTCTGTGCAGGCCGTGTATGTGCCCGCCGATGATTTGACTGATCCTGCCCCTGCCACCACCTTCGCTCACTTAGATGCCACCACTGTGTTGTCTCGTGGTATTTCTGAGTTGGGTATCTATCCTGCGGTCGACCCTCTTGACTCAAAATCCCGAATGTTGGATCCCCGAGTTGTTGGCCAAGAACACTACGACACCGCCACCCGAGTTCAACAGATGTTGCAAGAATACAAGTCGCTCCAGGATATCATCGCCATTTTGGGTATGGATGAATTATCCGAAGCCGATAAGCTGACTGTCGAACGTGCCCGAAAACTTCAGAGATTCTTGAGCCAGCCTTTCACCGTCGCTCAGGTTTTCACTGGTATCGAGGGGAAGCTTGTGGACCTCAAGGATACTATCAGCTCTTTCCAGAAGATCATCAACGGCGAAGGAGATGATCTACCCGAAGGTGCTTTCTACATGGTGGGCGATTTTGAAAGTGCCCGTGCGAAGGGTGAGAAGATCTTGGCTGAACTTGAAAAGTCATAAATGGTCAGTTGAGGAGATAGAGAGAGTGATACAACATAGCAATGGACGGCATAAGGATTTCCTTTCTGGGGAAGGAAAGAGTTGAGAGGCAGATCTGTACATTGAATCCCTTTTAAGAAAAATTCCTTTGCTCAATACCTACTATGCATCCACTCTGACCTTTCCTTCGTAAAGTCTCTTTGGTTTCGCTAGTGTTAGCAGTATGTCACGTCAAAGTACATTTGCCCAGCTTGCCATTAGATTGCCTTTCCATTTGGTTTGACATCAATGGCATCATGGCTACGGTCACAGTTTGGAGCAGGCGAGATTACTGAACGAACTTGAATCCGCGTCAGAGTACCAAGGCTTGGTCAAATGATATGCAGCGAGAGAAGTTTCGCCGTCATGGACACGTAGAAGAGAAGGACGATTCAAACATTTGCAACTCCTGGCAAGGATGGTACTCTACCAATTCTCTTGATTGTGTTCTGAACCCTGAAGAAGCAGGTCAGCACGAGTTATCTCGCTAGCTATTGTAATCTGGAGAGACGATCAAAAGCGACACAAAAGCAATTCAGATCCTCTTTGCCAGCATTCGGATCTCTCAAAATCCATCCACTCATCGTCGTTCAATGTTTTCTTCCACCAACTTTCCCGACTTTCGCGACATAGATAGCGCTCACTGGACACATTCCCTTTTTGCTGACCTTTTTAGGCCTGACTCATTCAACCGAAGAATGGATTGACATGTGGTCTCCGTGTTTTCCTTCCAGTCCTCATCCACTCAGATCAGTTTTCGCCATGATTGACCCGGTCCTATAACAGTTCCAAGGGACTGGTCCATGTCTTTTCCATTGTTCATGGTTTGATCTTTGGTCTTCATCATCGGTCTCGACGGTGCACTGACATCCACATCACTACCCAAGGCGAACCACTTCTCCTCCCAACTCTCCAGACTGCCTGTTTTCTCATTGAAGTTTCGTCGAAACGGGCCGTACCTGCGTGGATTGTTGCCTGTACCCGGAGAGATGTCGTGGCTAGAGGGAATCACTATTTTGGGCTTCCACCAGGGACTTCCTGCTCGAGTAGCACTGATGCTATTTCCTGTTCGGGGTGTAGATGGAGTGTCGAAGCTGTACTTTTCACGAACACGAACCGCTTCCTCTTCGTATTGTCGCAGGTGACGAGCATAGGTATCGCCGGGGGCGCCGTCTCTGACGCCTGTCAATAGACCAGGCTGTGCGGCTTTTTTCTTGGGTTTGGTTGTCAGAAAGCCAAACGAGGGGAAAAGATCGAAGAATTTGTTGTATGAAGCAGGACAGAAGCGGCTCCAAAGCCACCAAAGGCAGACTATCAAAGCTGCTGTTCCGATGCCCGTGGGTACTGCGATCATCAAAATACGTCTTGTGCCTGCGCCATGCTTCTCAGGATCCGGGATGAACGGGGAAATAGTCGAATTGTTTGAGAATAAGGATGCTGGTGGTGTAGGTTCCATTGTAGAGGTGGAGATCGGAAAGAAGGTGGTTCTTGGGACGCTGCTCACACTTGGAGTGAGGGCTTGAGGAGTCACGGGCATTGATGAGGTTTTCAAAGTCGTGCTCACCGAGGTTGGCAGGATTGGAGGTGTGACGGTCGAGGATAAGGATATTGTTATCGGGGCAATCTGCTGAGATGGGCTGGTACTAAAACCTGTACTCTGAAAGAAGTCAGGGCTGAGATATCAAAAGATCAACGCGATGAGCCATTGTCGCCTTAATCGGAACCAAATACAGAGACAAAAATTTGCGTCCTCTCAGGAGGCTTGGAAGCACTCAGGGACGAAGAGACACCGGTATTGGAGCCTGTAGGAGTGTCGGAGGACATCCCCATCGATATGTCCTCCATTGCGATCTTCAAAGCGGTTGTCTTTCAGGCTGATCGAATTTCCAAAGACTTTCTGTGTATATGCGTCGATAGCACGCGGCCGGTATAATTGACAGTACGATCAAAGAGTGGGCAAAGGATACAGGATTTTGCTGTTGGGTATAGACGGACTGTTGCTTACATTGGCGGGTGAAGCGCTAGCCTGCAATTGTATCGCAAAGCTTTCTGGCAAACTCGAAGGTGATACGCTGGTAGTGCTTGAAATCTCGGATGTCGTAGAGGTGAGAGATTCTTTTGTCGCGCTGGACGAAGTGAAGATAGTCACTGTTTGTAGGTCAGAAGGCCACGGCCATCTAGAGAAGGAAAGGGGAGGTGCGGGTGACAAAAGTTTATCTCCAGAAAGACAACCGGCATCTTTCCTATTCGCTTTCTTACCAGATAGATTTGTGGTCTGTGTAGGATCGGATCCAGTTGATGCTGTGGCGCTAGGTGTCATCGTCATTGTTGTAATAGAAGTAGTGGTGGTGGTGGTGGTACCCGCGCTCCCAAAGCTGGGATTGAGGTCACCCTCCGCTGGTCCATGTTTCTGCCTAGTTCGTGTAGTGTTAGTAGGAGAGGATACACAGGGCGTGATGGAGATGCTGGAGTAGGAAAACACCGGCGCGGTGGCTATAGCCGCCGACATTGTCGCGGTTGCGGTTGTGGTTTAGCGGAGGCCGTGTGATGATCAGACTTGACGTTTTGAAATTGACGTCGAGGGGGGAAGACAAGTGAGAAGTGACTGGCACTGTCTCGATCGATATAGACTTGCCAGCAGGACTTCAGAGTGTCCTCGAAGTGATGCTATCACTAGACATATCACAAAGTTCTTGATGTCAAAACTCAGCCTCCTTCTCTCCAGCCTTGCAGGAGCGTGATTGTCCCTATTTACAGGGATTTTCGACCTCCTCGACTCGAATACCGTGTCTCTCGCTCTTATTCTTGTGTCTAGACATCATATCCAACTATTTCCCCTGCTTCGGGTCCATAAGGGGAGTGCGTGGTTGAGGTTAGAATACGGTGTCGTTCTGGGACTGCTAGTAGTTACACGCCTGGGGAATCCCGACAAGGGCTAATGTTACCTCGAGCAACCAGGAAGACTTGCGTTGTTAATAATCTGGGCCAACGTCAGCAAACTTCATCCGAGAGAACGTGGGTTTCTGGAGCACGAGCGTGGACAGAGAGGGCCAAGATAGCGAGGAAAATCAAGATTCATGGCACCAAGAGAGAGCAATCGATATGGTTCAATCGTGTGTGAATTTGAAGGAGCTCAGTCTCAATGGAAGGCTTTCATGCTGAGATATGTGCCAGTTCGTATGAATGCCGTTCTTTTTCCTGGCCCGAGTCGGTCTGCCTCCACGAACAAGCCCGCAACGTTCCATCATTAGCCTGCCGAAGCAGAAACCCTTCAAGAATCCAAACAACAAAAGATCTCGTTTTGGGAATTGGATGGCTATTGGAAGCAGAAATCTAGACATGTATTGATTTCACCGATGCGCCTCAACGCCTTCGAACTCATTTGAGACAAAAGCTTTGCCGCGACGAAGGATTTCCTTGGATGCCTTGGTTCTGCACGGCCAAACTATCCCTACCTCAACATGATATTTGTATCGTCCATCCTGTGTGCATGTGATGGTGAATGCCGATCGCGATCAAGCTAGCAACAACCGCCAGCAGATCCGGATTGCACACCCTGGCCTTGGCCAACTTGAACGGTAGGCTTGTTGTTGACGGTGGTGGTGCCCATTCGTTCCTTGATTTGACGAGCCATGGTCAAAAATGCTTGTTCGACGTTGGAGGCGTTCTTTGCGGAGGTCTCGAGGAATGGGATTCCGAGGCTGTCAGCGAATTCCTGTTGCCTAGTGAGCACTGACACACTGTGGATGGTCCCTGCAAATCATCATGACTGACCTTGGCCATGGTGTATTCGACCACCTTTTTGTCTGACATATCGCTCTTGTTGCCAACGAGCAGCTTGTTAACTCCTTCCGTGGCGTAGCGATCAATTTCTTGCAACCATTGTTTGACGTTGTTGAATGAATCCATATCCGTCACATCATAAACCACACAGATACCGTGTGCACCTCGGTAGTAGGAGGAGGTGATGGTTCGGAATCGTTCCTGGCCGGCCGTATCCCACTAGGAAACGTTAGATATCGTTCTGACGACGTTGATCCATTACATGTACAATTTGTAGTTTGACAGTCTTTCCATCAAGTTCAATTGTTCGGATTTTCTGGAACCACGTCAGCCTCCTCCATTTAATGCCCAGAGCCCGGAGGCGCCGCCTAGGACCGCAACACACGTACGAAATCGACACCGATGGTAGAGATATAGGACTCAGTGTATGTATCATCGGCAAACCGCAACAGCAGGCAAGACTTTCCAACGCCGGAGTCCCCAATAAGCAGGAGTTTGAAGAGGTAATCGTATCTGGAGTATGCGTCAACGTTTTCGATCTGGGCAACCGGATGCCGCGAAGGAGATGCAGCAGGTAGAAGGCAAGGACTCTGTGCACAATTAGAATTCTACATTCACAATTTGCGGACGATCAGCCCGGCTTTTGTCGGTGATCGTGATGTCTTACCACTCTGGATTCATGGTGGCGGTTGGGGATAGGGGGATGTCAGAATGGACACAGCAGAGGGTGATATTCGGTTGGGTCGAAATCGTCAGGCTTTAGCGAACTAAAGAGACCGGAGGGTGAAGCGAGGTGGAAGTTTGGGTCACGTCAAATTTAAAGGATCGAAGGAAATGGGGATGATGTTTTGCGGCCAAGGGTGTAGTTAGCAGGTCAAGTTGAGACAGGGAATGTAGGCGGCAAGGCCTGGACTTGCATTTGGACGGCTGCGGGTTCTGGTTGGTTGATGATGGCGGCCGAATTGATTGTGGTCACGTGATGAAGTTCGAGTCACGTGTCGAAACACTCCCTCACGCTCAACGATGGCTTTTTGTCTTCGGTCTCATGATTGATGGATATCCTTTTATGTATGCCTATTTTCTTAACGGTGGCGTCACGCATGACTCTACATTGACCCGTGACCGCTATATTGAATTTCGAACAGGCTGCAACTCAACGGCAGATGATTCGTGACCATCCCCAATGTTTTTCCCTCCTCTCAGGCATATCCGTGAGTCTTCAGCCATTCCAGCAACTGTGCCTCGTCACGCTGCTTGTAGTTGGCATTGCCGGTAATGGTATCAGAAACGATCACCAGGCTTCGACTGAATGCTCCGGTGTCTTTGTCTTTGAAGAATTCGGTGATATCATCTCTGATCGCTGTGTCTGAAAATTTGGGCAAACCCATCTTGATCCATCTGTCAATAACCACATTGGTCACGGCAAGTCTCTTCGAAACACGCTCCCACTTCGTCTTTGTAAACTCCCAGGCTACGCCTCGAGTTTCATTATTTGCTGATACCGCCACGATACCACCGTGTGCATCCTGAGGAGGAACATCTTCGGATGTCACAAACACCAGCAAGTCCCAAGCGTGATCTGGGTTTTTGGATCGACCCAGAGCGGAGATGCAAATTTCCTTGCCATCAACAGAGGTTGTCCTTTTGAACTCGGCCTTCACGGTATCATATTCTTCCTGACCACCATTTGCCACAGCCAGGTTGAAAATAACTCCACGCAGATTCTGGTGGATGGCCCTGGCATCGCCAGACTTCCAAGCGGCAAACTTCTTCTTCCCTTCGGCAATGATTCCTTCATGACCGGCTCCAGCTGCTAGACCAAGGAGGAGCTTTCTGGACTGACCGGTCAGATACTCTTCGTCCTTTGGGAACTCCCAACCAATCGCCTCCGCCGCGGGTGAGACCAATTTCAGCGTAAATTTCTTCAATGCTGCCGAGATCTCCTTGTCGGTAGCGAAGACAGCCCGGACCTTGGTCAACGAACTTGCAATTTGCGACCACACCACATAGCTTTCTTCGCCTTTAAAGCCTTCGAGGAGGGATAAAAGAGCAGCTGTAGTACCGTTCCCTGCCACTGCCAGGGCTGTCGCGTCACCCATCAGACCGATCTTGTCTTCTATCGAAAGTCGCTGCTGCGCTTCACCAAGTTTCATCAGACGCGGAGGTGGGTAACTTGTGCGATAGAAGCCACTTTGATCTGCGTTGATTTTGTAGAATCCAGTATCCACACCTCGCACCGTATCTTCTTTCATGGTCAAAGCACTATGCACCACTTTTGTGGGCGTTCCGGTTTTGAGCCCGACAGGGACCCACCAGATCGTTTCGTCTTCTTCTGGCTTGACGTCTCCTGTGGTCAAAAATCTTGATTGGCGGACGGATATTTGGCCAGGTTCCTCAGCAACAGTCACCACCGGGAAACCGATTTTGCGAATCCAGGGCTCCATAAATGCCTGAACATCCTGACCTGATGCCGCACTGAGAGCAGCCCAGAGATCATTCGTTCGCGCGTTGCCATACGCATGAATCTTGAGATAGTCACCAACGCCCTTCAAGAATATGTCCTGACCGAGGTGATTGCTCAACATTCTAATAACCGAGCTTCCCTTCAGGTAAGAAATATGATCGAAAATCTGGTCGACCTCCAAAGCATTGCGGACCGGAACTTCAATGGGATGAGACGCGCGCAGCGAGTCGAGCTCGAGAGCTGATTGCACAGCTTCAGCCTGGATGCACGTCAACAAAGGATCAATGGAAGAATACCTCTCGACCTTCTACGCACCACAAACTGACTCCACACTTTCCATTCGGGGTGCAGATGGTCGACGGCAAGCCAGCCAACCCAGGTGGCAAATCCTTCATTCAACCAGAGCTCGTTCCACCAGTCCATAGTGACCAGATTACCGAACCACTGATGTGCCAACTCATGAGCCACCACGTAGGCAACTCGGTTCTTGAATCGAGCATCCGATTTTTCTTCGTCGAAAAGCACCGCCGTCGTTCGATAAGTAACCAATCCCCAATTCTCCATGGCGCCCATGGCAAACTCGTGGACAGCCAATAGATCAGACTTGGGCAGAGGATACTCAATTCCAAAGACGTCGGAGAAGTAATCTAGGGTTTGGTGGGCATGTTCCAAAGCAAAGAGGCCCTGATCTTTCAGACCGCGAGTAGTGTAAACCCTGACGGGTATGTTTTTGCCATTGTACTTGCGATCGGTAAACCCTTCAACGTACTCGAAGTCACCAATGGCCCAAGCAGCGAGATAAGTACTCATGGCCGGAGTCTTCTCAAATGCCACTTTCTTGAGCCCGTCTTTATTCCCTGGGGTCACACCTTTTACTGGCATGTTGCTCAGAGCAACAAGACTTTCAGGAATCTCCACCTCGAACTCAAATGATGCTTTCAGGTTTGGCTCGTCGAAACAAGGGAACGCTCTTCTCGCTTCACAGGCCTCAAACTGTGTGCTGAACATGTAGTGGTACTCGCCGTCTGTCGGTGTGTTCGCATCGGGAGTAATGGCCGGCTTATACTTCGACCGATAAAAGCCCGCCATAGCATTATTCATAATACCTTGGTATGTGATAGCAATCACGACATCTCCCGAGGGGATCGTATTCGAAAACTTGATCGTGGCTCGCTCGTTGGTCTTGTCGTAAGAAACATCGGCCATTGAAGTAACAGGAGCTGTGTGTGTCTTAGCAGAGAAGACACCAAGATGCTCGAGAACAACCCACATGCGCCATCTTTGCTCAGAACTTCTGCACCTTTGATGTCCAGCTCTTTCGCATTGATCACGAGCTCATTGGTTTCGTCTTTGACCTTCGACTCAATCTTGACCAGCCCGTCATAGCTCCAACATCCTCCGAACTCGAGGTTGAAAAGAGACAAGCCATAATTGAGAGGTTTAATGGTGTCGGGCAGGATATCTCGGTCGGTGGGAGGCGCCATGTTTCGTCTAGCTTCTGTCGAACAAAGACGGGGTTGAGTGACTCTGGGTTTGATGTTCCTCAATTGAATCGATCTGGCGACGACGTGGGTACACAAGGAAAACGTGCCCAAGGTTCGCCTGGTGTGAGAGAAAGCAGGTCCAGCCTTTATTGTAGAAGAGTAGCTGAAGATTGAAGCAGACAATCGGAACTCCAGCATCTAACTGATCGTTTGTGCGTACTTGGACCCCTCGGCAGAGAACAACCTGCTCAATACAAGACAAAAGACGGAGATAGCCTCTCGATCGCAGTTTCGTGCTCATGAAAATTGGCGGGGGCATGACTGTCCCACTCTGCGATCACCCAGCGGTTAGACACGGGACATGGTGAGAGCTTCATCGGTGCATCTCCAACTGCGCCCCAAATTGTAGCCTCCAGACGACATCCATCCAAGCATTCTGCACGAGACAACACCACTTCGCTTCTCTACCTTTCCTTCGTGTCCGCACGTGTTCTTCCCAGGTGATGCCGGCATCAGGGGACGAATATGTCGCCGACGGATCTGACGATGACCTCCCCCGAGCCTCTGGCCGCTCCCAGGCTCGTAGGGCAAATGCCCGCGAATCTGCCCAAAATTTTGAGGTGACCAGGACATGGGATTTACTTACTGAAAGCGCTGACGGGACTATCACGAGAGCGGTGGAAGGGCTGCTGGAGGCAGGGAAGAGGAAAAGGTATGTTGGATCCAAGAGATGTCACAAGAAATTCCAATTGAAAAGATGCCTCCTAAAAAGGAAAAAAAACGTCTTGCATTCCTATTCTGACACGGATCCAAAATGCAGACTTCTCAAAGACACAACTCCCCTCCAGCGTGGAATCATCCGCCATCTCATCCTCATTCTGGACATGTCACTGTCCATGATGGAGAAGGACCTCCGACCGACTCGCTACCTCCTGACCTTGCGCTACACAGAGTCGTTCATACGAGAATTCTTTGAGCAGAACCCCATCTCTCAGCTGGGTATCGTGGGCATGCGTGACGGGATCGCCATCCGCGTAAGTGACATGTCTGGTAATCCCAACGTCCACCTATCCGCGATCCAGCGAATTCGCAAAGAAGAACCAAAAGGGAACCCGTCTATTGAAAATGCCTTGGAGATGGCTCGTGCGGCTCTCTTCCACGCACCGAGCCACGGCACACGTGAGATCCTTTTGATCTTTGGGGCTCTTCACACCTCCGACCCGGGTGACATACACCGGACCATTGACAGCCTGGTAGCGGACAAGATTCGGGCCACGGTCATTGGGCTCGCGGCGCAGGTCGCCGTTTGCGCCGAGCTGGTCTCGAAAACCAACAACGGCGATCTATCAGGCTACGGTGTCGTGCTTCACGAACAACATTTCCGGGAATTGTTCATGTCAGTCACCACACCTCCGGTCACCAACGACTCGACGAAGTCTGCCAGTTCCCTTCTGATGATGGGCTTCCCTTCGCGAACCGTTGAAGACCGCCCATCACTCTGCGCATGCCACACGAAACCCTCGCGCGACGGATATCTGTGTTCGCGATGCAGTGCGAAGGTGTGCAGCCTCCCGAGCGAATGTCCCGTGTGTGGGCTCACTCTGATCCTTTCGACTCATCTCGCGCGAAGCTATCACCATCTATTTCCGCTAGTCAATTGGCTCGAAGTTCCCTGGTCGCAGGCGAGCCGCAGTACCACGTGTTTTGCGTGCTTGAAACCTTTCCCCGTCGCGCCACCAAGAGAGCAAGTGGCCACTGGTTCTTCCAAGGCGACTGGAAACGTCATTAGAACTACAACGAGCAGCAGATACGAATGTCCTGTCTGCCATCACCATTTTTGCATTGACTGTGACCTATTTGCCCACGAGGTTGTACATAATTGTCCCGGATGCCAAAGCTCGCGGATGCAGACGAGTTTGATGGGTGAGACCGAAGTTATACGCGACGTCAATACAGATGGGGAGCTCAGGGTTGAACGGTCCCAGAATGGAGCGGGTGTTTGAGAATGGAGATCAAATGAATGTCGACGGATAACCTGTGGATGGATTCAGGTTCCAACCCGTGTAGATGGATGGACCCAGAGCAGTCGGACCCGAATTCTCCCTCATAGCTGTTTCAGGAGTGACGCCTTGCTTGCTTCCAAGAGAGATGAACGTAATGAACGCAGAAGAAATGAAATGATACCCCCTCTACGAAACTTTCGCCCAAGAGATTTGCTTTTTGACCACTGTGTCTGTATGCGCGTACCTAGAGGCTCCAGATATCATTATCATGAAAAAATTGCTCCTCAATATTTGTGACGTCCATTTCTCGTGAAAGTCAATCCACATTATCCATGCTGTTTGTTCTGCTTTGGACCCTCGTAGTAACTATGAAGGGTGTACGTTTCATATTATTGAGTGGACATAGACGTTAAATAGAATTATTATTATTGAGTGGACAACTACTGGCTCCAGTCGTGAATCGTTACATCCATCGGGTCAATTGCTCTGGGAGTATCGATAATGGAGATGAAGTAATTGCCTATGTCTTCTCCCAGGAGAATACGGTCAACGTGATCTGATATGTCTGAGATCGCGGCTACGATGTCCGCGTACATTACACGGATACAAAAATCTTCAAGTTTCCCAATCCTGTTTGATATACTAATGCCTCTCATAATCAATTTCCTTGACCCAAACTACTGGGAATCGTGGTGAGTTCTTGTCTTTCTGTTTTCAACATTAGTAACAGCAGATGCGCTCAGCTCCAAGCTGGAAAAGGGTTTGTTTGCTTTCTTGAGCGCAGCCCTGAGAAATCTCGTTCAGGAAATTGCCAACTTCAAAAAATTTCATATCTGCTTTCATAGTGCACCTCTCACTTTGATGTGTGGAAGATCGCCGGTGGCTATGGCTCGCTTTAAGCTGTCCCCCTTTGCGAATTTTGCAGTTAGAAAATCTATCAGGCTGTATGACGAGGATGATAGGCCAGCTCTGAATAACGCTGCACACTCAATGACGATGTCGATTGTCAGACTCGCCTCCTGGCCCGGCGTGCCTTCCCACCCCTCGAGCTCCCTGAAAAGTGTTCTCAATTGGGCAAATTCTGCTGGACAGTCTGCCGTAGAGACGTCTCCACCGCCCCTAGGATGAGAGACATCTTCACAATTTGATCCTGCTTGCTTTGGCAAAGAGGCTTTGGCCCCATCACCTCAACGTCACAGAATGCCTGCAAAATGGTTCACCCTAACTGGAACAAGGCCACGAAGCAAAAGCATATTGAAACCCCCGAAATTGCGCTAGCTTGGATTTCGTCCGATTCGGACGGATTCTGTTCCCATTTGGAGACCGATGTATGTAAGTCCAAGCGAAACTCATATCAAAATGTCTTTCTTTGTTCCTGCTGATTGTGTGCAAGCAGCCGCGAATACCTGGAGGGTTGGTAGCCCATTCTGATTTTCGGAAGGGTCTCTTCCTTTCAAACAGAAATATTACCGTTTCTTGGGGGTTTGATTGCCAATCCGTAATAGGACAACAGGATCAGAGAGAAGGAGAGAAACAGAAAGAACAAACTTGAATGGAACGGTGGAAGGGACGCAGTCAATTTGCCAATGGGAGTGGAGCTTGGCGCGCTGCCAGCCTGGCTTTCATCTTCGCTCACCCCCCTGGTCCAATTCCCACCATCCATCCACCCATGTCTTGGGTCCAGTCTCCCGGATCTCCCTCTCCAGAATGTAATCAGCTCCCTCGACCCTCCGATTCGTCTACGTCCCCGGCGCTTTACAATTCTACAGCACTTCGCAACCCCAAACACCAATTTCCAAGGTCCTCAACGCGTAAATTCATCAACACTCTGACACAAAACAACATACTCCAGGATACCATCTTCTCAACTTACAGGATTCTGTTATTGTTGGGTGCCTGACCTCCTATCGCGACCTAGAAATCATCTCCTTGCGGCCCATCAGCGGTTTTAGGTGGGAAACGGACCATGGGGTTTGAAGACCGTTGCGAACAGCGCGTCGGGTTCATCTGCCCAAGATGCTGAATTTCGACTACAACTTCACCAGTTCACGTGCAGGCAGGAGATTTTCCCGGTATCTGATAGGAGACTTCACTTTCGCTCTTGAACAAAGCCGTTCTCGCCAAAAGCCCTTTCTCCAGAGGAACATTACGCGTGTTTTGGCCTATCATCAAAAACGCCGTGAGCGCAACTTCACGCCCAGCATCTTGAGCAAAAAATCGCCCTCGAAGTCCCGAGAATCAGACGATTCTCCAGGAGGAATACCGTCGGAGGAATCTAGCATCAACATTGTGGCCCCTGTCGTCGCATCAAACGGGTCGGAGACTTCTCCCAACCCTGAGGCTCTTTGGAGCCAAGATCGTCAACCACCGACAAATATCGCTATGGGGTCGAAATCACAGCTTTCTCTGCAAAACGCGGGGGAAAATGAGAGAAATACGCGTCGAAGCATTCGAAGCCTCTTAGACAAAGCCTACGAACAACCCGACGCCGAGCTCACCTTAGATCTTAGCAATATCCGAAAAAAGCTCAACTTCAAAACCAACTTTCTCGACGAAAGCGAAAGACCTGCCAAACGTCGCAAACGCGATTCTGTCCGGTGCCAGTGTCATTTGACCATATGGGACAACCGTGATGGCTGCGCTGCCATACCATTGACCACAAAATCCGCGTACTGTCGGGTAACTGCCACAGAGACCGTGTCCGATGGCTACTTTGTCGACGTAGAACTAGACAAGCCTTTTCTTGTCAGAGCAGCCGAACTCAAGGTTTCCATCGATACCAAACAAGGGTCAATTTTGGGGATCATCGACAAATACTTCCTCGAAATCAAAATCATTCCTTGCAAAGCCGACAGCCCCTGGCCGCCGATGCCAATCTTGGGTAAAAGTGACGGTGACCATTTTGCGCGTGATATCAGAAAGACTGGTTCAGAAGAGTTGCAGGGAGCTGTTGTCGCAAGATACACGCACTTGCCACAAGCTCCGGAATCGGATGTCCCACTCAGTATCTTCTTCCTTTACGAAGGGCGAACGTACAGAACCAAATACGGCCTTCAAGTGATATCAACGTGGCGGAAAGGAAGTTCTGGCTCAAAGCCCGTCAAGACGGAGAAAACCGGCCTGGAATTGGACTCTTTTTGGGCCGAGAAGCCAAATGGCATCAACCTCCCCAATGGAATGCACAAAGAATCGAATCTCTCGAAATTGGTTCAGCCAAGACCACCAGAAGTCTGCTACAACTTCTGTTCTACGATTTCAACACAAGCTGATCAAGATTTCCGGGTCGCGACTGTTAAGGGATATCGATGCCCGTTGTGTGCAATATGGAAGTCTTCCAGGTTAAACAATTTACAGTTCCACCTCTCAACAATGCACTCCAAATACAGGTTTTCTGTACAAAAACCTCGACGAGACCCGTCGAGCAACGAATTGACACACATTCAAATCAAAGTGGACCTGGCCGCGCCAGTCAGAAAGGAAGAAGATACCAAGTCTTTCGAGTGGCAAGCTCCAGAAAAACCATTCGATCTTCCCGCTTATGTCGAGGGCGACCACAGCTGGCTAGGCGTGTCATCTTACAAGAAGAGCCCCCTCAACGAACCCGTACCGAATACCGGTGTAAAGAGACCGGTCTCAGGGTTTCTCCCGGCCAAAGATGTACCCGATTTTCGGAAACCGCAACGCAAGAAATTCCGAGCGATTACATTGGAAACCAAATATGCAGAAGCCGAGCCTGTATATACGTCCATTAGCCACCGTCCAGTCTCTCCCAGCGAAGAGTCACGTAGCGAGACAGATGACGAGATTGACAACGAATGGCAAATTCAATTGCACATGGAGCGGCTCGATCTTATAGGGACACGAGAAGGTTGGAATGATTACGAACGGGAGCTTCGAAAGCGCTGGGATCGACATCGCATGGAGGAGCAGCTGGAACATTCCCGATATCTTTCAAACAGCTTGATTCGATTCGTACGAAAGAATCGAAGCTGGTTGAAGGATGGCGACGATCAGTTGCTTTTAGTGTTCTTCGAATTCCTAGAACAACTCAAGGAACGTGGTGTCATTGACGACAATGTGGTGTGCGATGTCAATGAGTTGATATTTCAAAATGCTCCAGCTGCGAGTCCGACGCCAAAGCCAGCCGAGATCAACGGCGCGCTCGCGCCTAGGAAAGAGGGTGTACGGACGAGAAGTCAGACGCGCAGTCCATATCCGAACGAATTAAATGGAATCCGGTCGAAGAGTAAGACTCCTCAGCCTAGAACTCCCAAAACGACGGCACCACCTCCAAACTCACTCAAGGCCGGCGCGTTCGTTTGTGGAATCTGCTCGCAGCCCATCAAACATATGATCAAGGATGTGATTTGGTGTAAGGATCCGGAGTGTAAGACACCCAGGACCATGTATCATCGCCAATGCGCTCAGAGCCATCGAGGAACCAAGTGTCAAGGGCGGGATAAAAATACCAGCAAGCCCACAATTGTTGAGATGGGACATGATCCATGCATGGACCTAAGATGGGTGATGGGAAGAAGTAGTGGCAGTGGTAGTCCGGCCCGACCGATTCATGACAACACGGAAGCAGCTGCGGAATCTACGGGGGAATTTGATGCTTCGAATTGGAGTTGTCGCGCGTGCATTGCAAGGCAGAATAAGGCTATCAAGACCAGGGATCTTGCCACGACTTCGGCCATGCCCATGTCTAGCCCACGGTGACTGCGACAGCTACCACATGAAAGGAAGCAGGCGAATCATTGTTTGCTGGGATGGGGGCTGAAGCTTCAAGAAGTTGACACGGAGAGAACGAAGGAGATAGCAGAGCGAAAGAGACCAAAGTAAGGGGAAAGATCAGAGAAGCGTTGAGAATTTTCCAAAGATCGCTTGGACTCTGGTCGCATAGCAAGAAGTGCCAAACTGAGAACACAAATACCAATTGCTATGTACTTATCATGTCTCGTTCGCCCTGATGAAGCACGTTGGTGAAACGGCAGTTCCTGCTCCAAATTTGAAGTGTACTGAAAGCATCTGCCTTACACCTCCCCTGATAAATTACACCGAAGCATTCATCTCCGTGTCAATATCACAGCCTCGTTTGCAATTTTACTGTGACAACAGACACACCATCGTCCCGCATCTACTACCAATAGCATCTACATGTCCGAGAATGAGAAAATCAAATTACTCAGTCCACTTTACTTGGGTATCCGGCAGGTCGTCTCTCACATTGAAAGAGTATACCAAGAGAAATCAACCTGACAGTCACGGTCCACTCCAAGGCAGGTCGTGGTTCAGGAGATATTCTTACATGCTGTAGAGTGCCTTTTCGAGTTCCTCTGTTTTCTTCCTTCTCTGTCGCTACATTTTGTTCATTTTTATATACAATCCATAACGACAATATAGAAAAGGGGGATTCGATCTTCAGATAATCGACGGGCACATCAAGGTGAAGTTTCAATAGAGCAGAGCGAAAAATAAAAAGAATGAAGAGCGCTACTAGATCCTGATTCTTTGATCAAATCAGATGGATGGTCCAAGTCAGAAGTGCGCGCAGTAAAGCCAGGAGAGCGATGAGGCTCCCCTTCTGAGTAAAGGAACGGAACTACAACGCGTTCAGACTGGCTCTTTCAGAGCAGGACCTTGTAGGAGTCCAAGGCGAATTGATTTACGGTATTCCAGCTGTCCCCACTACACTCGAAAAGGGGATGTGAAACCTGATTGGCTCAGGTTTCTGGTCCGTATAGTAATTGTGGGTTAGATCCACAAGTTTGCCATACATGGCCTGATGTGGCCTGACCTACCTACTGGGGGCCTACCGAGGACAGCTTGGCGTGATTTGATTTGATTTGATCTAATACAAACCCATCCCCGGCCTGAAATTCATTTTAATTCGTTGAATTTTCGCAAGACACTGAGTATGATTTGAGAATTGGCATGTATATGCTTCGGGAGGCACCAAACATAGAAGAGCATGATATCGAGGTAAGATGGGTTAGGAAAAGATGAGGAAAGAGAGGAACAGGGAAGAAACATGGATTCGAAAGCAGAAGCTTTGCGTTCCTGTCTTTATGAAATAACCGTCGAAGGAACAAGTAGACAAGGCTCGCTTGCAATCCCAACTACGCTGCCATGTAGGCCGGTTTTTTTTGTTCGCTGGCGTGACATCCGAGTCTTGTTCGCCTGAAATGCTGGAATTTGGCCCCGGAACACCATTTCTGTGTTTGCGCCGACGGATTTCGGTCGTGTTGCGGTAGAATGTGACATTGATATTGAGTTGACGAGTCGATGGTATCAGGATGAGGGAAAAGGGTAGTCGATGTCGAGAACCATGTATCCAGTTTCAGAAACCCTCCAAAATAAAGACGATCCCACCCCATTCCAACGCCAATTGTGTAGACATGACCTTGGGTCCATGCGACTGTGGGATCGCATCATCTCAACCCTTCATCTCCTCGTCATCATCCTCGGCCTCGAAATCCTCGTCGTCATCGTCATCATCGTCATCCAAGTCATCACCCGCATCTTTTGATTTCTGCTCTGCCTCGGCCCAGTCGATCTGCTTGCGGCGGGTGCGACCTTGGACGATGTTGTTGGGGTCGATTTCTTCCATATCTTCGTCGTCTAATGAGAGTTAGATTGGTAAGAATTGGCGGGGCTAGGAAGAGCGCATGCGTGGTTTAGCGTGTGCGAGTCGGGTCGATGACGGGTGAGAGTGGGAAAATGTACCTTCTTCCTCTGGCTCGAGTGGCTGTGGCAAATTAGACATCAGTATGGCCCATTACAAACAAATATTTGGGTTCTGAATGTACCTCCTCAGCGACACTCTCATCTTCAGATTCGTCATCTTCCTCTATCATGTCTGGCTGCTCAACAGCCTTGCCCTTGCCTTTTCCTGTGTCGGCCATCTCGGTGCTGTTTTGAGACATCGCTTCTCCGTTCGCTGACATTTTTGTAGGCAGAAGAAGCAGGGGGAACCGCGACGTCCTGAATGAGGTGACCTTCAAGTTGGCGATCCGTTGTGGTTGTCGTTGGCAGGAGCAGCCGGTCAAGAGGCTTGAAATCTGAAATCGCGTCGCGACTGTGCCAAGACCGTTAAAACGCTAACCAAATAAGGAGATTCATTTATCACGTGATGAGATCCGATCTCAGAGTTCGTCCTCTGCGATACCAGTGCAACATCGTGAAGCCCGTGTCGAGGTGCCACAAAGTCGAGCATGGTCTGGAACGATGGATGTCCCGGTCGCGGCAAATATCCTTGGGGTGACAGGAGCAATTTGCTGGTCTGTTCAGGTGAGATGTTTCGTACAGATCTAAAGCATCGAGCTCATGAGAAAACTTTCCTCCTTCAGCTGATTCCACAAATCATCATCAATTACCGTCGGCATGACACAACGGGCTTGCAGCCTACCATGATGCTACTATGGGCCTGCGCCGGTATCCCATTAGGGGTATACAACATTGTGGAAAATTTCAACATTGCGTTACGAATCCAGCCGCAGATCTTGACCTGCTTGAGCCTACTCACCTGGATCCAATGCAAATACTACAGCAACAAATGGCCGCTGACCAAATCCCTGGCTATTGTAATTCCCGTGGCAGCTATCATGGGTGGCATTGAATGCGGGTTGGTTTTTGCATTGAGGAGAGCCAGAGATGATCATGTGGAATGGCCCATCACCTTTATGGCGATTTTGTCCGCATGTTTTCTTTCCGCCGGAGTGTTGAGGCATTACTGGGATATTTACAAAGAGAGAACCGTCCGGGGCATCTCGTTCATATTCGTGGCCATTGACGCCATGGGCGATCTGACTTCGTTGATTTCGATATTTTTCGAACCCGAGTTGGATGTCTTGGGGATGGTCATCTACGGATCAGAACTGGCTCTCTGGTTGGGCGTGTTTGCCTGCGGCGGATACTGTAAGTGGCGAGATGTCTCATGATTTTTGTGAGAGATCGTTTGCTAATTGTTTATCCAAACAGTCAATTTCCGGCCATGGCTTCGGCGACGGAGAGAAAGGCGTCCAGGTTCTAAGCGAGAGCGCGACTCAAGAGAAGGGAGCCGTTACAGCCGTAGTCGTGAAATCAACCTCAACAATGCATCAAGGTCAAGGCGATCTTCATCGTCGAGTTCTCGTACAGTGTTCCGGACTGCGTCAGCCATCACAGGTGAGGGTATAAGGGCAGGTCCTCATGAAGCCGTGAGGCTGCGGCCAGTGACGGTGGATGCCATATCCTGAAAGCTGGGCGTCTAGGTGTTGGATATGTAGAATAAGTATGTGGTACCCTGCCCACAGTACGTTCAGATTTTTTGGTTGCATAATCCATCCCACAATGTCTCGCCCTTCAAACCGTCTTTATCTTTCCTCAACTCAAACCGGATGAATGGGCAAGTAGAATGCAGTGAGAGGACAAGAGGGCGCACAGAGACCTCGATGAATTCTTACCCGTTCAGATCTAGACTCTCAAGTCTTCCAGATGACATGGGACTTCGTTTATATTCACTCAGACAACCTCTTCCACGTTGACCATCATTTTCCAGATGTAGCCTCCAAGAGAGCATGTTTTTGTAGGATGATCGCCTCAACCCGGTGTTGCGCTGGGCTCTGACTTTGCCGGCACCCTTGAGTCGCCTGGGGCTTCTGTCCCTCCATACACTATCATGGGATCTAGTTTGGCGCGTCAGAGACCCCTCCTTCCACCGTGAGCTTGTGCGCATTACCTGCTGCCCAAGCTCTGTTCCTCCGGCGGAATCTTCTTGCCTCCTTTATCCAAAGTCAGGACAGAGCCAGTCGGAGGATCTCGCATCGGCAGAAATCTCCATCAATAGCGCTACCATTTCCGTAGCCCTTTCTATGTCGCCCAACATTCTCTGCGTCATCCCACCCTGTCGGCTCCGCTTTGCCTAAACACTTCCCACTGCTCTGGGGGGCCCTCATACAACTATACGCTACTATTACCGCTCTTCCGACTGGCCGTCATCCGCTCCCGCGCGAGCGGCACCTGGGACACTCCTTTCTCAGAACAGAACCCGGCCACGGTGCCGTATGGTCCGGCCTCGGCGAGACAATAGAATACCAAGGTATGCGCCTACCATCAGATGCGAAGATGCATGCCTTTACCGTGGCGTTCTACGCGTGGCTATCGAAGAGAGGAAACATCGAGCCGAATCCAGTGAGATTAATGCCCGGGAAAGTCGAACGAGTGGCGCAGTATGGGCTTTAGCTTCTTGGGTCAGGAGGTATGGACGGATAATGTTCAGGAGGAATGGATGCGGCCCGTGAGAGTGCGGAGAAATTGCTTGCATGTCGTTGCCGTGACTGAATGCTGTCACTATTTTGAGGGAAATTTTTTTTTTTTTGGGCTTGTCTGTGTGTGCGTGTGTTAGATAGGAATTATTTAGACCTAGAGGCTCACAATAGATACATCTTTCCAGCAGTGTTTGGTAGATATCAGGCAACATATCAGGCAACGCTGGGAGTTGCTCAGCCTAATTCAGCCTCGTCCACCACTGATGGCATGGCAACGCCTAGCAACCATGACGGCAACGGGTTGATGGTTAGGGTTGGATGACGTAAATTATGCCCCTCCTAAATTTTTGGGCGACAGCGTTCAACTAGCTGTTAGCAGCCTCTAGCTATACCTATAGCTCCGGCTCAGGATCAGGTCAAACCGCGCTCACAACTACCATTAATCACTTGCGCAGCCGCATGGGCCATCCTAGTTACTATTCTCCGCAACCACTTGTAGCATGTAGACGTGCTTGGAACAGGCCAGCACAAGCTGGATATAGCAAGTGGGGGCTGGGAGCTTCTAGCTGTGTACTTGAACCTTCGATGGGCTTCGTTGACATTCCGCACGTCGCCAAGCCTACAACTTTTCGTTCACGGCGAGCCTGTGTCATTGCCTGATAAATATCCCACTCGAACTCTCACTCCTTTCTCCCAGACACAAATCAGATATTTATCAATACCATTTTTCTCGATCGAAAAGTCTTTGTCGGACTTTGACTTGGGTTTTTCTTTTATAATACTCCGTGTTTCCCTTCACAACCTCTCATCATGGCTCCAGCGATCGGTAAGTCAACCCTGCCACCGGAGGGTCAACGACGACGAGCTAACGGACCCTCAATAGGTATCGATCTAGGTACAACCTACTCATGCGTCGGCATCTTCCGAGATGACCGCATCGAGATCATTGCCAACGACCAGGGCAACCGAACCACTCCCTCCTTCGTCGCCTTTACCGACACCGAGCGTCTCATTGGTGACTCCGCGAAGAACCAAGTTGCCATGAACCCCCAGAACACCGTCTTTGACGCCAAGCGCTTGATCGGCCGGAAGTTCAATGATCCTGAAGTTCAGGCTGATATGAAACACTTCCCATTCAAGGTTGTCGACAAGGGTGGCAAGCCCGTCGTTGAAGTGGAGTTCAAGGGCGAGATAAAACAATTCACTCCCGAAGAAATCTCATCCATGGTGTTGACCAAGATGAGAGAAACCGCTGAATCGTATCTTGGAGGTACGGTCAACAACGCTGTCATCACTGTCCCTGCATACTTCAACGACTCTCAGCGTCAAGCCACCAAGGATGCCGGTCTCATTGCCGGTCTCAATGTCCTCCGTATCATCAACGAACCCACCGCGGCTGCCATTGCCTACGGTCTTGACAAGAAGGCTGAGGGTGAGCGCAACGTCTTGATCTTCGATCTTGGTGGTGGTACTTTCGATGTGTCGCTCTTGACCATTGAAGAGGGTATCTTCGAAGTCAAGTCCACTGCTGGTGATACTCACCTGGGTGGTGAGGACTTTGACAACCGCCTCGTCAACCACTTCGTCAACGAATTCAAGCGCAAGCACAAGAAGGATCTCTCCTCCAATGCTCGTGCTCTCCGACGTCTCCGAACTGCTTGCGAGCGGGCCAAGCGCACTCTTTCTTCTTCCGCTCAGACTTCCATTGAGATCGACTCGCTCTATGAGGGCATTGATTTCTACACCTCCATCACTCGTGCCCGTTTCGAAGAACTCTGCCAGGACCTCTTCCGCTCTACCATGGAGCCGGTTGAACGTGTCCTTCGCGATGCCAAGATCGACAAGTCCTCCGTCCACGAAATCGTCCTGGTCGGAGGCTCCACGCGGATCCCTCGCATCCAGAAACTCGTTTCCGATTTCTTCAATGGCAAGGAACCCAACAAGTCGATCAACCCCGATGAGGCCGTTGCCTACGGTGCTGCTGTCCAGGCAGCTATCCTCTCCGGTGACACCAGTTCCAAGTCTACCAACGAAATCTTGCTTCTCGATGTTGCGCCATTGTCTCTCGGTATCGAGACTGCCGGCGGTGTCATGACTCCTCTCATCAAGCGCAACACTACCGTCCCGACCAAGAAGTCCGAGACTTTCTCCACCTTCTCCGACAACCAGCCAGGTGTGCTCATCCAAGTCTACGAGGGTGAGCGTGCTCGTACCAAGGACAACAACTTGCTCGGCAAATTCGAACTTTCCGGTATTCCACCTGCTCCCCGTGGTGTTCCCCAGATTGAGGTCACCTTCGATGTTGATGCCAACGGTATCATGAACGTCTCCGCCGTTGAGAAGGGTACGGGCAAGTCTAACAAGATCGTCATCACCAACGACAAGGGCCGTCTGTCCAAGGAAGAGATCGAGCGCATGTTGGCTGAGGCCGAGAAGTACAAGGCCGAAGATGAGGCCGAAGCTGCTCGTATCGGTTCCAAGAACGGCCTCGAATCATACGCATATTCTCTCAAGAACACTCTCTCTGACTCCAAGGTTGATGAGAAGCTTGATGCCTCGGACAAGGAGAAACTCAAGGCCGAGATCGACAAGATCATCTCTTGGCTTGATGAGAACCAAGCCGCCACCAAGGAGGAGTACGAATCTCAACAGAAGGAACTGGAGGGAGTTGCCAACCCCATCATGATGAAGTTCTATGGTGCTGATGGTGGTGCTGGCGGCATGCCCGGCGGTATGCCCGGTGGTGGTATGCCTGGCGGTCCCGGTGGATTCCCAGGTGCTGGAGGCCACTCTGGTGGTGATGATGGCCCAACTGTCGAAGAGGTTGACTAAATGTCTTCAAAAGCATTTGATCCTATGTCAATCATACCGGCGTTGGGCGTTATCTAGGGAATGGGAAATGATACCTATTGCATGGCATAGATTCTTCGGCATCAGTTTTTGAGAAAGTCCGATAATGCGTTATGGAATGGTGATTGGTTCTCTGCGCAAAGTACAAGCAGGGAAGAAAGGTGAAAAGCCTTAGAATAACTTTCGAATGACATGTATGGTTCAATCAACCTTGTTCGAATTTTCTTCTAGTATACTTTGCTGTCGTCTCGAACATTTACCTGTTTTCGCCCAACTTTCTTCGTGACGTGACGCGCATATGGATCCTTGTAACAATTCCCAGGCCAAGTCCCGTCTATCCTGTGCCCAGGCCTAGAGCCTTGCAAGTGGACCTAGATATTCGATTTTACATACAACGCGGAAGCACATGTGGTCGATCTACCGCCTCGATTGAACCGGTTGACGACGCTTTGCTGTGTATCCGTCAAGGGCGAGCGGCTTCAAAGTTTATTCTTTTTTGGGGGGGGGGGGGGGGGGGAGGGGAAGTTGGAAGAAAAGATGAATAAGACAGAGGATTTCCGGAACCCTGGCGAAGGTAGGCAGTGACTGTTCGTCTTTCAGCAAAAAGTCTTTACTCGACGTGCTTGTCAACATTGGTAAAATCATCTGGTGCTCTTTGTTCCTTTCTATCGTTAGTGCTCCGGACTCCTTCAAATTCTATTGTCTTCAACATCCTGCCTTTCACTCTGGTGGCTTTCCTTTCTGGTTCAATAAACTATGCACACGACAGGAATTGATATACGCCTCACGAGTTCGGGAATTTGTTTTAACGCATTTGAGGCCGTGGCTTGATATCGCTGATTCATGCTGACTTGGAACCCTTTGTTCAGCTCGTCGTGCAGAATTCGTTCGAAGAGGCGAGTTACACGCCGCATGATATTGAAATATTTATCCAAGCTCCCATGCAAGCTGGACGAGAGCTTGAAAAGCTGAGATATTTGGCCATTAGTGGCTTTGCAGGTTTCCTGTACACTGGATTTACACAGTTTGAGCACGTACCTTCAGCATGTATAATGGCTGCATTCCTGCTCGGTTTCCCGGCCCAAACTCAACGATGGTAAGACGATCAGCATCCTCAGCTTTTCGCGGCGAGAATTTCAAATATTTCCAGATCGCCACGGATGGCAACAGATGTCAAAGACCATCTTAACGCTGTATGGGTGGATGGTCCTGGGTATGGCCCCCCACGAAACTACCCAAGTGCCGCCTTGGGAGAGCTCCTTGACGATGCTATAAGATAGAAACCAATTTTAATCACTCCGTGCCATCACCTGCAATTGCCTCGCTTTTCAACGACTCCAGAATCCGCTCTCTCACATGGTGGGCCACCAATCAAGTGAGCTTTCTCCTCCGGCCATCATGGGTTCGCCCTATAACATCAAGTTGGAGCTTCGAGGTACTGGCTAACAGCACGCTCTTACCAAAGCACTGGGCATTGGTCCGACATTATTAATCGTCAACCGGTAGGGTTTGGCCTGGTGGTGGTTCCGAACAAGATATCCACCAAACCTGCGGTTGGGCCTTGTATCGGCCTCACAAAAGTGGATGTAGGTCAACCCAGGACGTACTGGCACAAGACGCTCTTTCACGGGCTGATATTGGCTAGAGCTCATGAGGGCCTTCAACAGGAACAGTCCAAGCCTTCTCAATGAATGGTTGTATTATTGATGACTGGGAAGTTATCGGTGCGTGGATTCCGACCCCATTCGCTCCGTTAGGATACCTCTGTGGGGGAAATGGTCAGGAGATACATCAGAAATGCTCGCCGGGACCTAACCTAGGACGAAAGTCTGTTGGTTGGCATAGGAGTATCCACATAGCAATCTATTTCGCCGGATTTCGCACCCTCGATAAAATTCTTAATGAGTGCAAATGGCTTCAGGACAACTTTCGAAAAACGAAAAGAATCAGGCTGAAAGGTAAATACTACAATGCAGCCAATCGGATACAAATGTTTGCCCTGACAAGGCTGAACGTTCACTCAAATGAAACAAGTTCCCAGATTCAAGATGCGCAAATACATTAAACGAGTTCTCGTGACTGGTGAATCGTGGATTGTTATATAGCTATCGCTATTGCTGCCAATTGCAACTGCAACTCTAACTGTGAGGCTGAGGCCAGGCTGTCTAATGTGTCGTCGTACGGAGTCTAGGGTACGAGTATCTAGGCAATCTGTAAGAGAAGACACGGGTCCTCCTGGTATCAAACGTTTGAGGGAATCGGATCTCATGTCACCATCGCCGTTAAGCCGTTGAAGGGGAAATGTCAAAGCCCAGCCGTGGACAAATGCTCAACGCCCGGTCATACGGCGCAATGTTGATGTGAGGCAATGGTCATGCGCGCCGGTGTAAGTTAGATCCAAATTCGACAGGTCTAATCTTGAATCAATCCGCCGTTTACCAGCAACTTTGACCGTCTTCCGGACGCCATCTTCCCACGGTATCGACTCGAACGCTTCCAAGTTTTTCCATTTCCGTCACATTGATAATGCCTCTTCCGTCAAAGATCCATTTTGGTTCCTTCATGCTGTAGACGATACGCGCCCATTCCACGGGTTCGATGGAAATCGGTCCTTGAGAATTCGATTTGCAGTCGGGACAGTCCGTCACACAGGCAGGTGCAGCAGACAGTTCGTAGGAGGAGAATCTGACAAGGAAATCTTCATCTTCTGATTTGTGGAGCTTTGTGGAGTCGTCGGGTTGAGAATCTGATCCGGCTTCGCCAGCATGTCTCAGCTTGGCCATCGAGGTGATCTGATCGTTGGAGCTTCCATTTCGTTGTCTTGGAGCGGAATTTCGGAATTGGTCACAGTCGGTGATGACCAGGACGGCATTGGCTTCAGAGCAAGCTTGATAGGGATCGGCGTAGATTTTTACCAAGCTGGTATCGCCAACAGAACCCGCTGTTGACGAGCGGAGAGAATGAATCTCGCGTCGGATGTCTTCCTCCACACAGTACGGGTCAAAAATGGCGATTTCGGAGGGCTGTTCATCGAGCAATGATCTGATGACATCCACCGCCGGAGATTCTCGAGCGTCACTGGTATTCTTTTTGAATGCAAATCCGAGCAATGCAATTTTCCGGGCGACCAAATTTTCATTGAACCGTTTCAGAACTTTTCCGGCAAATCGACGGCGTTGCATCTCGTTGATGGAATTAACCTGACCCCAGTAATGGGCTACTTCATCTAGCCCCAGAGACTCTGCGAGATATGTCAAACTCGCGATATCTTTTCTGAAGCAAGAACCGCCAAATCCAAGACCGGCTTTCAAGAACTGGGGACCTATCCGAGCGTCCAGGCCCACTGATTTGGCAACCTCCTCGACACTAGCACCGGTCGACTCACAGATGGCACTGATAGAATTGATGCTGCTGATCCTCTGAGCCAACATGGCATTTGCCACGAGTTTGGAGAGTTCTGATGACCAAGCATTGATTTGGAGGATTTGGGAAGGAGCGATCCACGAAGCATAGAGGCTGGTAAGAGCATCGGCCGCAAGACGACCTGAAGGCGTTCCCGAAGAGCCAATAATCACCCGATCTGGCTCCATGAGGTTCTTGATGGCCGAGCCTTCGGACAAGAACTCCGGATTTGAAAGAACCTCGAAGGGTACACCGGGTCGCAGGACATCGAGCTGTATACAAAGGTCAGACCCCGTCAATCCCAAACCACTTGGACTGGTAGCCATACTGTTTTTCGGATGCGCTGTGCTGTTCCACAAGGCACCGTACTCTTCTCCACAATGATCGTGCCGGGTTTGGCAAATAGAGCAACGTCCTTGACGGCACCATCCAGAGCGGTCATATTGGTTGCTCGACCCGCACCCACTCCCGAGGTCTTGGTGGGGGTATTGACCGCCAGGAAAATCATGTCTGCCTTGGAGATGCTGGCTGGAGTGTCGGAGGTGAAGAACAGGTTCGGATCACGTCTGGAGACCGCATCTTCTCCCTGGGCGACGGGTGAGGCTGGCGTTTGATCCCTCCGTCTCGTGTTGACCGCTCCGTCTCTTGTCAACCGAACAATACTGTTCAGACCGGGCTCATGAATGGGGAGGTGAGCCGAGTTCCACCTCTCAATCCGACGTTGGTCTCGGTCTAGGACTTCGATGTCGATCTCGGGATTGTGCAAGGCTATCACCGCCGCAGTAGGGCCACCTGCAATCCCCCCAGATCAGTTCCAACCTCCTCCATCGTCCCGTCTAGGATGCAGATTACACATACCTACATAGCCGGCACCAATCACGCAGATTTTCTTGACACGGATGGACTCGGACACACCGAAAGCGCTTTCAGAGGTGACGGATGGGGTATCAACGCGTGATTCGGGGACTTGGAGTCGGCCAGCTCGCGGCTTGGGGTCATCCAAGATGGAGGACAACCGAGTCGCAACCGTGTCTTTAGGATGCGCAGGAAGAAAGAGAGGACTACTGTCCGGGGTTAGGAGTCCAGTGGAATCGTTACACGAGCTACCATCAGAAGTGCCAACGAGTGAAGGCACGAAATCCATGACGGCGGGGACGAGGGGAAAAGGAAGGAATGAAAGAAATTCGCAAAGTATGAAAACAGGGCATAGTTTCAACAAGGAAGGTCAGTCCAGTAGATAAGAAGGGTGTGAGGCGCACGAGGGGCGTCAAGGCGCGAGTCAAGAGGTAGGCTCAGCAGGGCAGAGGGCGAAAGGGGAGAATTGGCTGGAAACGGGCAAATTTCAACGTGCTTGCTCACATGGTGTGTTTTAGAGGGAGGGATTGAGCGTTGAACATCATGTGCATTCAGAGCATCAGAGCACGCGCAGTCAAGGCGGCTCTGTGAGTGGCTGAGGACGAGGATGGGCTGGACGAGAAGGAGGACGAAAAGATTGAAAAGGAATCCCAAGGGAGGAGGGCGAAGATGGCAAACATATCACCAACAGGAACGCATCCACCCACGTGGTGGCCGTCAGCACATATAACGCGTTGGATTTGTCGTCGCCAAAGTTGCCACCAGTCGGCCTTTTAAGTTAGCCAGCGACGCTTGCGAGCTTCAGAGTGCCAGGCAAATGCGGTCAAGGGGTCAATAAGGTCAAACGGGTCAACAGATTAAGACCATCGGACAATTGAGGAACGAGTCACGAGTGGCTGGAAAGGTTGGAAGAGAAAGGGAGAAAGAAAAACCGTCCAAATTCGGTGAGAATGGACGGTGGCTATCTAGGCAGTAATACATCGCTACCTAGGTATATTAATCAGGCCGGACACCCTGATTTCGAGGGACGAGAAATAGGTGGTTGAATTTGCCCCCTCGTCCATTTACATACCAGCAGAGATACCTCGATTACTGCTACTGGCTATTCCTCCGGGTAGGTACCGGTGCGGCTCCCCCTCCCTCCGCAAACCCTCGACCGCCCTCTCTGTGTCCTCGCGGCGCGCCTTTGAGCACACGTGATATGGAGATAAGATAAGACGACTCGCAGCTCGGAGTTCGGAAAATCTATTCATCCAGTCGCCTTCACCCTACCCTACCATGGCGGTCGAAACCATACCACGGCAGCCAGCACCACCGCCGGCACCGTCTGACCCCAAGCCCATCGAGCCGGCGCAGCCAAACCAAGACGAGTTCCCTTCTATCCTTAAGGGTCGGCGCGTTCTCCTCGCCACCGAATCCCTAGGGCCGGTCAACGGGGTCAGTCGCACCACGCTCAGCCTCATAGAATACCTCCGTCGCAATGGCGTCCAACTCGCCGTGGTTGCTCCTCATTCCAAAGAGAGCAGACTCCGACCGAGCGGCAACGGCCTCTCTGAACTGCGTCTGCCTGGCTATCCTCTGCCCTACAACCCTGATCTGACCGTGGTCTATCCTTTCCAACTCGATGATGTGTACAAGCGCACGTTCAGTCCCGACGTCGTCTATCTGGCCAGTCCAGCTTCCACCGGCTTTCAAATGCTTTTGCAGATCCGCCAACTCCAAGAGCCTCCGGTCGTCCTCCTGAATTTTCAGACCGATCTCTCTGCGTACAGTGAGATTCTCTTTCCGGGTCCGGTTGCTCGTTTTTCTGTCTGGCTCTTGGCGGTCGTGCAGGGGTTTCTGTTTAGCCATCGCACGGTCCATACGATCTTTTATCCTTCTTCCGGAATTCGGCGCTATCTGGAAAAAGCGGGTGCCCCATCAAGCCGCATGGTCCAACTCGGTCGGGGGGTGGACACTACTCTATTTGATCCCTCCCGCCGTGATCACGCATACCGCGAGGAGCTTGCCCCCAATGGAGAGATCATTTTGGTGTGCGTATGTCGACTGGCACCTGAGAAAGGCTTCGAATTCCTGGCCCAAGTGGCCATCAAGTTGCTTGAAGAGGCCTTTCCTTTTAAGCTCCTCGTGGTGGGGGGCAATCTCAATCCGGCGGTGGAAGATGAGGTGCGTCAGCTTTTCGATCCGGTCAAAGACAACGTCGTCTTCACGGGCTTTTTGACGGGTGTGAATCTTGCCCGCGCCTACGCCTCGGGTGACGTGTTCCTGCACTGTTCCATCACGGAAACATTTGGTCTGGTGGTCCTGGAAGCCATGGCCAGTGGTCTTCCTGTCATTGCCCGTGATCAAGGAGGTCCATCGGATATTGTGCAAGACCAGCAGACGGGATACCTGGTACCTCCCCACGATCTTGATCTCTTTGCCAGCTTGGTCAAACGTTTGTCCGTCAATGCTGTTCTCCGTTCCGACATGGCTGCTGCCGCCCGAAAATTTACGTGCGAGACGACCTGGGAGAAGATTAACAGACGTGTTGCATGGCAGATAGCCGAGGGATTAGAAAAGCACCTTCAAAATGTCCAAGCAAAGAAGAAAAGGCGACCCATTCGCAATTGGCTTGTTGCCAGATATTACGGATTTAAGGCAGGCATTATCTCACCGATGGTGGTCAGGTTTCGACTGCACCTAGCCATCATGCTGGTCTACTTGGTTTGGATGATGGCTGCCGTGGTTTTGATACTCTATGGCAACAAGGTTTTCTCCCGCGGCTGGCATCTATTGTCGAATCTTCCTCTGGTGTTGCAGGAGTTTCACTATCGAACCTTTAAGCAAGGACTTCGAGATGCAGTTCAGAGAATGGTCGCAAACCAATGATGATATGACACCCCAAATTGCGACAACTCATCCGAAATTACGAATTTAGATATGCTGGTTTGGTTTAAGAATGGAATCACGGTGGCTTGTGTCGACGAATAGAGTTACAAAGAGACGTCAGCTGCCCAGCAAGATTGCATGGCCCATGCTCACCATACGTTTACTTTTATGATTTTGCTTAGCTGGTCTAGAGAAGAACTGCGAGGGAGTGAATTTGCGACGAGAGGAGACCATACAAACGTTGAAGGGGGCACTGAGTCTACAATCTGGATCGTTGGAGGGTTGGGGAACTTGAGGATTTGTTTTTGGTTCCCTCAACAGCCTGATTCCCATGAAGAATGCTGCCCCATTTCCCAAGATGAGGAATGACTCGGTATGATAAGCATTTCGGAGACTCTTGCCGCCTTCACAATAGTTACGATATCAACTACATACAATGCCAGATACATCCATTCACTCAACAGATTTTAGGCCTCTCATCTCCTTGACATATGAGCCAGCCAGTCAGAGTCCAAAGGCTTTACCTAGGCCAAAGTACAGACGAGCCAGTTCAATCAGCCCAGGCGGAGGATGCCGCAAGATGCTAGTGGTAGAACATTTCATTGCGAAAGGCTGGAGAACTGTGAGCTTGAGCGGCAGCTTCCGACCTCTCCCCTATTGGGCCTTCCTGACCACTCCTACCAGATGTCATGATTGAGAACCCGCACCTCTCGGTAGACGCTGGCCCAAAATGCCCTCTCAACTCGCTGTGATCTGGCGCGTCCTTTCTGCATGCGCGGCCATGTCTCGGGTCCCGAGTGTGATGGATGCCGTCTAGTTTGTTGCGAGAGTCCAAGGGAACAACAGCTCCAAAGAGAGCAAACGGCGAATAGCCACACCCTCCTCCAGCGAAAGATCTGAATCAGAATCTCAAGGTCTACCACCTACTCGATCAGCCCGTGCGAACAGGCTCATATTCCGAAGACGTCTATCGTGTCTTCTTCCGCTGACAGGATTATTTGGCCGCGATCATCGAGATGTCTCCTTGCAGCTTGTACGACCAGATTCTACGCGGAGACCCTCGTGGCACTAGGACGTGGGCCTGGGGATGAAAAGAAAGCGGACTCAGTCGAGGTCCTGGCCGCCACGATCCTTCTCTTGCGACATAAGTGTTTAACCCTGACGACTTGGACAGAGCTGGATCCGACATTCTCAAGGCTACAGACGTTGATAGGGGGAAAGGGCCGGAATATTTCAACGGCCACGGCACTCGAACGCGCGCCTTGTTCGCCTGGGCGAGATCACTGGATACTGTTCAACAGCCTTGGAGGGGGGCGACGAGAACAAACAAGAGGTCTCCGACTATATCTCGACCTGCACAGGAGTACTTCATGCCTGACGGTGTTACTCTGTGCCACGAGACCGCTGCACAGACACTAGACACTTTTGGTCGCCGGAGTGATAATTGATTCTGCGATAGAAAGTTGTGACAATAAACCATAGCAGTCCTCCTGTTGACGAAACAATCCACTGGGTGAGCTTGCTTTCTATTCGATTTCAGCCCGTTATCGTGGAACAGAATATGATCTTCCCCTTTTTGTTCGAAACGGCCCGTTGCATCTGAGACTGATTTAGTCGGGCAACCATTTTGAGCTTTCCAACCGTTGATAATCTTCAAGAAACACTTACCGATTTCTTCCACATCATTACTCAAAGACCTTTAGAAGAAACGCTTGATGATGTTTCGAATAGTGCCAAATATGGATTTACCATCCGGTCCGCCGCTCTGCCCATGCACTGCCGTGAGGTCGTGTTATTAGGGAGCTTTCATCCACACAGGCCTACCTACTATTGGACCGGTTCTTAGTATAATAATCGCGTGCATGTCCTCGGCGGGTGGCATTTTCTTCCAGTTGTTTCAGAAAGTTGGCCTCGGAACTAAGGACCTCCTTACCTGTTGAGAAAAATCAGTGGGCATCACCCTTCTTGGGTAAAGGGACATGGTAAACAAACGTGACAGGACTGAGAAACCAACAGACATCTTAATTCGGCCGTCTTGGGATTCCGATACGCTATATTGCTAAGTGCCAGCCCAGATGATGTAGAGCATCAGGATGGTGTGAGGCTCAGAGGGGAAGCTATGATCAGATTGTGGTCGAAGAATTTAGAAGTCTACCTTTGTTATATTTCCGGCTCAGGCTGCTCAAGGTCAAATTTGCCGCCTGCATGTGGTAGGGCTGGCGCTTTGGGTATCCATTGGATGCCCGAATAGCCGTATGAAATGCGAAAGTCGAGTTTGGAAATGGTTTCTTTTTTTTTTTCTGTGCGCCCGGCACTCTCCCGGGCGCGTGATGAAACGAAACTCCATCCGAAGTTCTTATCTTGTACATGATGGAGCCTGCACCAGAACTCTCAAGTCTATACTCTTGTTCCAAGCTGGTCTTGAATGAAGTAACTAGTCCCTACGACCGAGTACAGTTCAGAATGACTGCTTCCTCGAATACCTCTTCACAGCAGCCTTACTGTAAGCGAGGGTATATGCGGCTTGCGGAATATATGGCATGGGACCCTGCAATGGCAATACTTCCGCGTTTCCGCTCCTTGAACATATACAACCTGCTGCTATTGCAAGCAGAGATCTCGGAGCTCGATGAGGCTTTGACGAAAGCGGTGAAGGGGGCCGACAGCACAGATGAGCCCAGGAATGTCATCTCCACGCAGCTTAGACAAAAACTGGGCGAGTACAGTAAGTATCAGGCTCTCAAAGAAATTCGTCCACAGGAAATAATTTACCTGTTCGTCTTTCAGATCAGGCCGTTGTCAATCAGATCATCATCAACAATCAACCAAACCCTGGATGGGACAATCTTGCCGATCTTCTGAAATGGTTGAAGCACACAAGGGGCGGCAATAGCCAACTCAGAGGGCCAGGTGCAGACGTTTGGTACCCTCCTGAGATAGGTGGTCGGCCACATAACGATCATTCGGCTTTGGACGCCAGAAACTCGAGGAAAAGCATACTGGAAAAGCTTGTCTCCCGACACGGAAATCGGCTGCTCCGGAGGTTGCCAGGATCAATGATCAGTGTAAGTTGGTGGGCGTCCATCATTTCCTCCTTTGCTTCTAAAAACCACGTCAGAAGCGACCGTTCTTGCCTGAAGAAGGCTCAACCGCATGTACGATGTACAGCAATGTCGAATCCTTTGAAAAAATTGGCGACAATCTTGCCAGTTTCTCTGCTGCCATCCTAATGTTGATCCCCGTGGTGGTTTTGCATTTTCTCCGGAGCGCGAACATGAGGTTGCTTGTGATTGTAATCTTCTCTATTTGCTTTACAGCACTCCTAGTGACTACCACCAAGGCAGAACGGTCGCAAGTTATTGCAGCTTCGGCGGCGTTTGTCGCGGTGCAGGTTGTTTACGTCGGGAGTGCCTTGACCCAGTGAGCGGGAAAGAGACCCTGACTAAGGGGGTTGAAGACACGGTTTTGACATCTAGCTCTTCGAAGGGTGCTCTGTAACCTTTAATATCTCGTTCTCTTTCCCTAACTCTCTCACCCGGCGAAGATGCACCCGAACATGACGTCAATCATGTTGGTGGTGTGGACGACATGAACCAAGACAGCACCGAACCAACCAGGACACCAGCGAAGGTGACGACGGGATACCGTGACAGAACGAATGGCAACCCACGGAGCAGAGAAAGCTATTCGGTTGGCCTAGGCACCTGGTCGATTTGGACGGGACTTTGCGTGTCAAGCACGAAGAAGGCGGCGACAGGGCCATGGTTCAACCCACTACCGATTACGATGATCTGCTCAACTGGTCCAAGAGGCGTAAACTGCAGTCTTCTCTCATTGGCTTGCTGGCTGTCATCTCTGCTGATATCATGACCACTTTGTCGTCTGCGGCTCGACATAGAGGCTGACACAGGCATTCTGCTTGCAACCCTCAACCAAGGCGTTGGATGTCCGGTACCTTTTCTTTGGTTGGAGCAATAGAGATCCGGTTCGAAGTTCGCTTGCCACAGCGACAAGTAGGAACGGCTGGACACATCGCGTGCGTGACTTGCAGTCGCATGAAAAAACATCTGAAACACCCCCCTCTTATTCTCGCACTCATTCTTATCAAGTCCAAATCTTCACCTCTCGGCTAAAACATGACTTCGGATCTTCGGCTCTCACCGCAAGTCGTCGACGATTTCGTAGCTGTTGAAAAGACAGCAACAACTTTTTTGCGGGCAGGATAAGGGATAATGCAAAGGTGGAGGTGCACGATTCAAGGGATATAAAAGGCGCTCATGCCATTCGGATTTGAGTCGCGAGAGCATGCAGCAGAGCTACGCCAGAATCAGACCAGGAGCAGGGCTCTTGTCGTCCACGAGGAGGCCGCTAGCGTTAATTGGGTCCACTGGTGGACGAGGATGACAAAAAACCGACGGTGTGAAGAGGGGAGATCAGGCTGATTTTGGTGCGCAGAAGCCTCTATTGAACGTTCAAGAATGGTGACAATCAGTCGCATTTAGCACGCCGAAAGGGCTCGGCGAAATGGATAAAGCTGTTGGATCAATCATCCAGGAGTGACGGCAGGAGGCCGCGGACGAAATGGGCAGACCCCTATTCCTTGAGCCATTTCGATCATTGACCTTGGAGCTCCTTTGATATGCACACGTATCCGCTCACGCACCTGGTCAGGATGGGAATCTGGTTGCTCGAGCTCGAGCATGGCATGGCTCTCGACACTGCCTTGACTTTGCCGGAGGATAAATTGTCTCCGGCTCATGGCTTTTCCCCATACACACTTCCAATGTGCACCCATTTCGTCGGTCCAGAAATAAGAGCGCAAGATCTTCTCGAGCTGAGGCCATTTCCGTGCGACTGGGTAGAGATCCAAGACCCGATCCATGACCGTGTGTGAATCAGGCATCGGCACTACGCGTAGTGCCAATGCGCCAGCCACAGAAAGACTGGCCCAAATCAGACAGTGTTGCTCCTGAAGAGCTGAAGGCTTTGTGTGGAAGGGCAAGGTGGTGATAAATTTACGAAGTATAGGATCATAGAAAAGATTGAGTGGTGAAAGGCTTCGTAGCTGAAATAGATACGAAAGTAAACCAGAGGTTAAGTGATATTCGATGGGAACTGTGGACGTTAGGGACATGCGCCGCAATGACGATAAGAGCGTTTGGATCATTGATTGTCGACGATCCTCCCCATAATTAGGTGAGTCCGGAGACGGAGGCGTGAACATGCCATCCTGAAGACTGAGTGAGGTCAAAATGGTGGTGGCACCGGAAATTGATGACAGTACGTTGATCATTTGGACGGAGATCCGAGAGGCGAGGCACAGTTCTGAAAGGCCAGAAGGGAGCCTAGAAAGAACAAGGCATAGTTCTGGTGGAAATGGCATTTCAGGATAGGAAAGCGGCTGATCAAGTGTAAGCTCCTGAAAGGTCTCACTGAGATATCCGAGCGAGTCAGGAGGAATATCGGGTGGTTGCCCCGTCACGAAGGAACCCAGGGCCTTATATGCGGTCAAACCAAGCTTTACAAATTTCATCCAGTCCGATTCAGTTTCCCGATCCTCGTCCTCAGAGAGTGGTCCTCGGAGCTGAAGCATCTTTTCCAAGCCTTGGCAGTGCATAAGTACGCCGTGTTGGTTTCCGGTTAGATATTCGAGGGTCATGAGCATCGTGACGGTCAGCAGAGCGGCATCGTCGGTGCACTCTTTTGACTGCAGTGTGGCATTCAGTCCGGCGATGGCATTTCCCCGATGCTGGACGCAGGCGGAATCCTCAAAAATAGACCGTCCCAATGAAAGCAGGACAGAGGCTCGACACACCGCAATCATGGACTCGAAAAGAATCGCGTGTTTCAGCGCGAATGGGAGTAAGAGCGACAGGTGAGGGTTGACGGGGCCCGGAACAATAGATTTTTCCGTGTTGAAGCCTTTGCATATTGTGACAAAATAATCCATTGCGTCTTGGACGCACTCGGTGGCCTTGATGGGGAGAGTGAGAAATGGATCGACCCGGGTTCCGTTGGAAGGAAGAGACTGGATGGGTGAAGGCACCAGCGATCTGGGCTCCCTGTCAACATCCATTGTTTGGCGTTTGCGTAACTTCTTGACATCTTCATCTGAATTGTCATGCGAAGAGTTGGGAGGGTGCCACTGCACGAATGGATCCGGAGTGAAATTCTGCAATTTCTTGCTGGGGTCGTAGCTCCTCCATCGGATCCGTTTGTAGCTCTGGCTGCGGCAGCTCTGGATTCCGGCCTTGGGCGTGGATGGCAGAATTGATTTGAAAGAGGCCGACGAATCTATGACGGTCATACTCGCAGTCTGTTAAGTATGGATGGATGGATGGATTGATCGGTCGAGACAATCCTCTTTGCACCGCGTGGTCGGTGGTAGAGAAATTGCCACGAAATTTAATACCAAGAACGGCTGACTAAGAGACTGGAGAATCGGGACATCTCCTAGGAGTTCAAGGCTTGTTCTGCCCAATTGATTGTTGCATGAGCATTCACCTTGTTGGATTAGTTTTCATGGTCTCCGCTATACATTGCTGGCTGGATAATCCATGCCGTTGAATGGCTCGACGTCATTTTCATCATCTTCGTCTTCTTGCTCATCCAGGGGGTCATCACCTTCCTCCGGTTCACCATACCCTGCGGCTATATCAAGCTCTTCCAAATTCAGACTGTCCTCATTGTCAATGAAGCTGGGCCTCGTGCGCTGTTTTGTCTTGCTTAGTCTCCCTTTGCCACTCCCGCCAGCTTGTGGCAACGTGCCCGTCATCGTCCGGCACAAACTTCGATAGGCGCTCGCCCATTCGAGCTCCTTTTTTCCAGCATCCTTTGGCATGTATCCCGCTGCAGGACCACTGAGTTGCTCGTTGGATGTTTTCATTCCTAATCCATCCCATTGGTCAGGTAACTTCAAAAACCTCTCCAATGCCGCTTCGTCCATTGCTTCACCGCTGGTGAGTGCATCTGCCTTTGCTTTGAGAGCCACGCGAATCTTGGCCATTGTCCCGTTGCTGTACCAACCGAAATACCTTGTTTCACACTCATTGCGGATGTAAATGTCTGGCGTGTCCACCAGGGATTTGAGAAGGGGATCTTGCAAGTCACAGAGCTGCCAACTCTGTCCGTCGTAGGGCATCCTCTGCCTACCAGTGAAAATGTGAGATCTCCTGTCGTTACTGCGAGCCCATCTTCGTGCGAACTCCTGTCGCGCACCCGTCCTGTCTCGGTCCCGCGGTAGTAATTGAATCAGAACACTCTGGTACTTGCGATACGAGCGATCGGTTCGGGGATCTACTCCGTATCGGCACAGAGTATCCCTCCACGGGCCTGAGCGAATGGAAAATGCAAGATATGCGATAAGAGGCCGCGCCAGATAGAATGGGGCATCATCAGGAAACTGGTTCATCAGAGCTCGACGAGTCCAAATTGGCCGCTCTTCGAAAAGATCACGCATGAGTTGGTACATCTTCTGGTGACTCTCTGGGAGCTGGGACAACGGGAGACATTTTGGATTTGGTTTGACCGGCCATTCCTTATCACCGTACTGAACTTGATATGTGAAGAGTTTCGTGGGAGCCTGAGTGTTGCGCAAAGTCTGTTTTCCCGTCAAAGGATCTACCACTGCCTTGACGGCCGGGTTCTGACGGTACGTATAATTGACCGGGAGGCCTTGAGTTGAGAGTACTGGAGGCGGAACAGTCTCCGTATCTGTCAGGCCATAAGTGCGCGGAAAGTCCCACTGTTTGATTAGCGGGTATCGCTGTGGAAAGATCTTGGCCTGCAACTCATTGAGAAAGAAAGATCCTCGGGTCGAATACGCAAAATCAGGCATCGTTCGCCATGTGTGTGTCGAGTGGATGGCACCCAAGGGCTCGACGCGACAATTTTCTGGATGGTCTCTCAGCGTTTGAAGAAGGTGGCTGACATCTTTTCTCGGAGCCGCATCCGTAGAGTGCTCAATAAATGGATCATCAGAACCACGCTTTCGTTTCCTTCCAGTTCTCTTTGGCACGGTGAATTTCAGGAGAAGATTGTTAGTTTTCATGTTATAAGATACCACAGGCTTGCTTGCCGGATTCTCAGGTCGGAACCTCAGTCCTAACGGTTTATCACTATTCATCTCCAGACCCTGGGCTACTTCTCTGGAGCCGCCGATCATCCGGAGAGCTCTTCCCGGATTTTGGACTATGCATGGGTGCTCGACAGAGAGAACGGGCACGGCTGGAACAGGATACCAGGGTGCGGCAGGGGTTCCTTTCGAGGATTCAGACATGTTGAACAAGTTAACTGGTAAGAGGGTAGGTCCTTTGCCTTTTGGATATGGATTAAGTGGCCGGGAAGAATATTTCTGCGGTCCTTGGCTGATGAGAAAGGGAGGAAACTCGGGATCGACTTGTGTACCCTGGATTCTGGAGGCGGATGATGAGATCGTGAACATGATCAGAGGATCCTCTAGTTCGAAACTTGGAAAAGATTGGTAGACAAGGGCATGATTAATATTGGTCTTGGCGATTGCATCGGCGCAGGCGCTCGTACCTTGGGCCGGCTTTCGGCAACCTGGGATTTTCAAGAGTAATTATGAATTCGTCAACGAAGTAAAGGTAGTACCATTGAAATGAGGCTAGAATACGTAGGAACCACCATCCAAAACTACGGAATCATACACCAGATTGCCCGCCTCAAGGGAAAATTCTAGTCACGTGATTAAATGGCACCGAATCCTTGCCGTCTGTGGCTGAACCTCTCACACTTATTCGCGACGCAGACGCCTGATACTAGTTTGTTAGCCCCCGCTGCGCACCAATTCCATCCACCATCCAACGCAGTCAGTCACTCAATCACTCACAGATTGGATATTGTTTGTTCAATGGATGGACTGTTCATTACACCATTCACACTGAATTCACCAGGCTATATCCACCTTTCAACCGAAGGCTGTTGGTGATCGTGCCTTTCCACCGCACCCCCGACTTTCAGACACCGCACTCGAAAATCCACATCCCACCGCAGCTTGCGCGACCCTAGCTAAACCACCAGTCGACAGCCTGCCTTGTTGTCATTCAAACCTCTTATCCCATCTCCGACCCTCAACAATGAGGGAGTGACGGAAACACGCCACGACGCATTTCCATACTGCATATCCCATCCCGAAGATCAAACCCTTCCCTTCCTGACCGTCGATTCTGTGGGCCCGACCCGTATGAAATAGTTGCACACCAGCGGTACACGAGGTCACAAGGCGCGCATTGATTGCGACAAACGTTCTAATCGTTGAATGAGAGATTCCTGGGGAGCTCGGCAAGATGAAAGGCTTCAGGCAAAGAGTGGTAAGTTTCGTGTGACGCTTTGCCCTTGGTGGCGTAGACCAAAAAGCTGCTTCCCCTCCCCGGTGCCGGGCACGAACTCACTTGTGATTCTAGCACGAGCAACTGTCGAGGGCAAAGGATTCCAACAAGTCTTCCAAAAAGAAAGACCCGGCTCCCGGCACCGCGTCCCCCCTCTCTGCCTCCTCCGCAATCCTCGGGGGTGACTCCAGATCTCCCAACAGTTCCAATGCCGCCACACCGAGTTCCTCATCCACGAATGTAAATGATATACGGGGGAAGAGCACAAACAACGATGGTGGAGCGGGCACCCATGGCAACACACTACATCATGGTGTCCATGGCCCCGGCCCGGGAGCTACAGGCCAACACTTCATGTCGCAAGGCTCTGCACATGGACCAGGCGGGCCTGGGACCCCCGGCAGACAGGGCGGCCATATCCCCCCCAGTGTCATAATAAGCCCAAGCGCTCCTCACATTCCCGGACCGGGCGCGACGGAGACGATGCCTGGGGACCTTGCGCCTCCAAAAGCTGGCCAAAAATCACTCCTTTTCGATCGGCTTCAGTCTACCCCCAAAGATGTGCCTGAGGGTGTACGAACTCCGAAGAGACAGCATTCATCTCGGTTCGACGTGTCGGATCAAAGAGCCCGTGATCTCGAAAAGTTACCAGGTTTCCACGAAGTCCCCCCTAATCGAAGGCAGGAGCTTTTCATGCAGAAAATTGATCAGTGCAACATCATCTTCGATTTCAACGATCAGACAGCGGATATGAAGTCCAAAGAAATCAAGAGACTCGCCTTACACGAACTCTTGGACTATGTCGCGAATAATAGATCCGTCATAACGGAACCGATGTACCCCAAAGTCGTGGAGATGTTCAGCAAGAATTTGTTTCGACCGGTTCCTCCCCCCGTCAACCCCCAAGGGGAGGCCTTTGACCCGGAAGAGGACGAGCCGGTGCTTGAAGTGGCCTGGCCTCATATCCAAGTCGTCTACGAGTTCTTCTTGCGCTTCATCGAAAGCCAAGACTTCAACACCAACATCGCCAAAGCGTACATTGATCATCACTTCGTCCTTCAACTACTCGAGCTTTTCGACTCGGAAGATCCGAGAGAGAGAGATTTCCTCAAGACGACACTGCACCGGATCTACGGCAAATTTTTGAATCTCCGGTCATACATTCGGAGATCCATCAACAACGTCTTCTTCCAATTCACCTACGAGACGGAGAGGTTCAATGGCATCGCGGAACTTCTCGAGATTTTAGGATCCATCATCAACGGCTTTGCTCTCCCGCTAAAAGAGGAACATAAACTCTTCCTGACCCGAGTCCTCATTCCCCTCCACAAAGTCAAGAGTTTGAGCATGTACCATCCTCAGCTAGCGTACTGCATCGTCCAGTTCCTGGAAAAGGACGCGGCGTTGACCGAAGAGGTAGGAAGACTTACGACCTGCTAACCAGTGCGTGATTGCTGATCAGTGCGCAGGTCGTCCTCGGGTTGCTTCGGTATTGGCCCAAAGTCAACAGCACGAAAGAAGTCATGTTCTTGAATGAGGTGGAGGATATTTTTGAAGTCATGGATCCTCAAGAGTTCGCGAAAGTTCAGGAGCCACTCTTCAATCAGCTGGCCAAGTCGGTTGCCAGCCCCCACTTTCAGGTACGCCGGGTGTGAATGATCCGTACCGGACTCGGCTAACAGGCTATTAGGTGGCGGAACGAGCACTTTATTTCTGGAACAACGAATATTTTTGCAATCTCGTCAGTGACAACGTCGAGACAATCTTGCCGATCATGTTTGCTCCGCTCTACGAAAATTCAAAGGGACATTGGAACCGGTGTGTATCTTTTTTTTTTTAACTTTTCATCATCTTGCTGATCTGGTCTAGAACAATCCATGGCATGGTCTACAACGCAATGAAGCTATTCATGGAAATCAATCCTCAATTGTTTGACGAATGTTCCCATGATTACAACGAATTGCAAAACACGGCGGGACAGCGAGAGAAAGCACGCGAAGCCAAATGGGAGAAACTTACCGAGCAGGCGAACAGAATGAAAGCCGGACTTGCAAAACCGCCGAGCGCACCGCCCATTAAAGAAGTTCCTGAGTCAGTTACTGCACAAGACAATCAAGAGAGGCTTGATGCACTCAAATTACATGACGAATCGTCATCGTCGACCAAACCGTCATCGGTAAGTCATCTCTCTCTCACTCGTGTATGGAAAGCATTGCTAGCAAAAAATGCTTTCCTCGTCGTGTTCATCTTTTCATTGGCTAAGATGTTGTCGTATTACTATAGTGACCTTGAGTGCTGTTTCTAACATAGCTTTCGATTTCTCCAGAGGCGACGAGCGGACTCTCATGGACACACGAGATCTCGCCGGTCCAACAGTGGCTCTGACGGCAAGTCGAGAAGACATCGCGCCCATTCTGGCGGATCAGTGGATCTCCATCGAGCGGTGCCCCACATACAACGCCATGGGAGCACCACGTCACAGCGTTGATAACATTTGATCGCGTATCGCGGGAGGGAGCAGCAGGAAGTGGTCTGGTCGGTCTTCCATTAGCGTCATAAGCAAGCGTTGACCTTGAGAATTTGGTGTACTTAGGCCCGTCGGATACTTCTGAGGCTGTCAAAATGCCCCGAAGCACGGTAGAATCCGCGTTGGCTTTCCAAGGGCATTGGTTGAAAAATTAGGGTAACGAGGCTTGTGATGTTTGCCTCCGCAACGAAGATACGAGCAATGCGGCCAAAGAGCCTTCCGAAACTGAAACTGCGGTAAGCTGGACGTGAGTAATGTTCAAGTAAAAATATGAACTGGCAGCCACAGCAAACTTTCCGAATCGGGATTCTGAAAGCGGTTAGTGACTTGACGACTAGCGCGTTGGAAAGAGCGACAGGCAAGTCCCTCGATTTCTCAAAAGTCGTCTTCTCCATCTCCAATTCTTGCCCAAAGATCCATACAAAGGCCACAGGCGCTTTGAGGGCACGAGGCAGCCCGCCTGCTCTACCATTTCATTTACTTTGACATTCTTCTGGTCTTAATTTAATTTTCCTCTTCCTCACTCCGTTCGTTCTCCCATCGTTCAGTCCGCGCAACTGTAAATGGGCCATTCCGTCGTTGAGCACCTATGAAGTCGCCCACGCCTTTCGGCGCACGATTTGCTCACTCGCGGTACCGGTCTCTCGGCTACCTGGCGTAGTCTGGGGATATCTTGAGAATGTCTTCCAATATGGATGCCTCGCAGAAAATCGATCTCTACGCCGCAAGGCTCACTGATCCCAAAATTGGTCAGTAATGTCCGCGATCGGTAGCCTTTGGTACTCACCCACTGATTCTTTCCCCCCCCCTCCTTTAACAGATATGAGAACGAAGTCGAATGTTGCCACGGAACTTCGCGACTCTATCGAAAATCTTTGTACACCGGCTGCCACATACACAAAGTTCCTCTCCAAACTTTGGCCTGTGTTCAAAAAGATACTGGAGGGCAAGCCTGATTTTACGCCTACCTCCTTCGAGCATATCCTCAGAAACCAGATACTGGAGATTCTACACAGATTACAACATGCGTCGCCCGAAGTGGAACCGTATGCCTTGGAGATTGTCGAGACTTTGATGGAGTTGGTGCGGGTTGAGAATGAGGACAATGCGGTTCTCTGCTTGAAGACCATCATGGACATCGAGCGGCATCAGCCGGTTGCAACCGCATCAAAAGTCCAACCCTTCCTGGATCTTATCCAGGAGATGTTCGAAATGATGGAGCAGGTCGTACGCGATACCTTTGACTCTCCTGCGGCTCATCATCAGGCACCGTCGACCACACCCAACCCCCCCGGGCAAACCTTCCAGTCGCCTCGACCTGGTTCGCCAGCAACGACGGTGTCGGATCCCGGAAATGAGAAGAAAGAACACACACCACTCGCCACAGGCATGCAGTCCTTCAAGGTTTTGTCGGAGTGCCCCATCATCGTCGTTTCCATCTTCCAAGCGCATCGTAGCTCTGTGGCAGCCAATGTTAAGAAATTCGTGCCGTCGATCAAGGGGATCCTGCTGTTGCAGGCGAAGGCACAAGAAAAAGCACATGCAGAAGCAGCGGCCCACAAGACCATCTTCACCGGAGTGAGCAAGGATATCAGGAATCGCGCCGCCTTCGGTGATTTCATTACCGCACAGGTCAAGACCATGAGTTTTCTTGCGTACCTTCTGAGAGTATATGCGAATCAGCTGACGGATTTTTTGCCGGCTCTGCCCGGCGTGGTCGTCCGTTTACTCAAGGACTGCCCACGAGAGAAGTCGGGAGCTCGGAAGGAGCTGCTGGTAGCTATTCGTCACATTATCAACTTCAATTATCGCAAGATCTTCTTGAACAAGATCGACGAGTTGCTGGACGAGCGAATTCTCATTGGCGATGGCCTCACCGTGTACGAAACGATGCGCCCCCTGGCGTACAGCATGCTGGCCGATCTGATCCACCATGTTCGAGATTCTCTCGATCGGAACCAGATTCGACGAACGATCGAAGTCTACACGAAGAATCTCCACGACAACTTTCCAGGGACGAGTTTTCAGACAATGAGCGCCAAACTGCTTCTGAACATGGCTGAAAGCATCACCAAGTTGGAGAACAAGGAAGATGCAAGATATTTCTTGATCATGATCCTGGATGCTATTGGAGACAAGTTCGCTGCGATGAACTATCAGTACGACAATGCTGTCAAATTGAGCAAACAATACGGGGACAAGTCCACGGAGAACCAACCGGAAACTTATATGGACGACAAAGATCAGATTCCGGACTGGGACGAGGTGGACATCTTCAACGCCACTCCCATCAAAACATCGAACCCACGGGAGCGAGGCGCCGACCCAGTTAACGACAACAAGTTCTTGTTCAAAAATCTCGTCAACGGCCTCAAGAATATGTTCTATCAACTCAAAACCTGCAATCCTCCTGGACTCAATGTGGACCAGGCAAGCGCACCTTTGAACTGGGCTGAAGTCTCCTTCGGCTACAATGCTGAAGAGACCCGTGTGGTCACGAAGCTTTTCCATGAAGGTGCCCGCGTCTTTCGTTACTACAGTGCTGAAACTCCTCCACCTGACCTTCAGTATTCGTCTCCCGTGGACTTTATGGCAAGCCACTCAATGTCACAGATGACCCGGGAGGAAAAAGAACTGCTGGAGAGCTTCGGCACAGTTTTCCACTGCATCGACCCGGCCACGTTTCACGAAGTCTTTCAAGCCGAGATACCGTATTTGCACGTATTGATGTTTGAACATACAGCGTTACTCCATCTTCCTCAGTTTTTCCTGGCCAGTGAGGCGACATCACCGGCATTTGCAGGAATGGTCCTTCAGTACCTGATGAACAAGCTACCAGAAGTCGGCTCGTCTCACATTGTCCAGTCGTCAATCTTGTTGAGAATGTTCAAATTGTCCTTTATGGCGGTCACACTGTTCTCTTCGCACAACGAACAGGTTCTGCTCCCCCACATCACGAAGATAATTACGCAATGTGTACAGCTGTCTGTGACAGCAGAAAAACCGATACACTACTTCATACTTCTTCGTTCCCTGTTCAGGAGTATTGGTGGCGGACGATTCGAACTGCTCTATAAGGAGATCCTTCCTCTTCTTGAAATGCTGTTGGAGACGTTCAACCACCTCCTTCAAGGCGCACGAGATCCCCATGACCGAGACCTGTACGTCGAACTCACATTGACGGTTCCTGCCAGACTGAGTCACTTGTTACCGCACCTGAACCATTTGATGAGGCCTTTGGTGGTAGCCCTTCGGGCCGGGCCCGACCTCGTCGGTCAGGGCCTTCGAACCCTCGAATTATGTGTCGACAACCTTACCGCTGACTACTTGGATCCCATCATGGCACCAATCATGGACGATTTGATGACAGCTCTGTTCGAACATCTCAAACCGCAGCCCTATCAGCATTTCCACTCCCACACAACGATGAGAATCCTAGGCAAGCTAGGAGGCCGAAATCGAAAGTTCCTGAACCACCCACATCAGTTGGCGTTCCGACGATACACCGACGATACGCCTAGTTTTGATATCAGACTTATCGAAACAAGTCGCGACCGCGCTTTCCCGCTCGATACGGGGGTCGATTTAGCAATTCGAAAGCTCAGTGAGACGGCGAAGACGACTGCCGTGAAACCTTTGGATCTGTATTACAAACAACAGTCATTCAAGTTGATCAGCAACGAAGTGAAGCTGTTCATCGGCTATGATCACCTTCCAGACGATTTTGCAGCTCTTCTTCGACTCCAAGCGAACGACCTCCTTGCACGGCGTTTTTCAACATATGCCGATACATTGGCCGAAAACGAATGGGGGAAGTCGGTGCAGAAACGCCGTGAACAGGAAGAAAACCTAAGGAAACTGCTCAAGACATGCTTCACTGCAACGACTATCCCAGATCTGAAACCCCAAGCGGACGCCTTTATTCTGAACATATCTCGTCATTTCACCATGGTCGAACTTGGCCAGGCTCTGCATGATGCCGGCCGAAAGACGAAAGAGTTTGATGTTCATATGAACGAAGGGGCAGTCCATCTCAGTACGAGAATACTTGCTGACGTTCTTTGCGATTGTCTGGCCTCAGATAATGTTGTCATCAGAGAAGCGGCCGAAGCATCGATGGTAGCAGTCGTCGATACAGCTCGCATTATCTTCGGCAGTGAGGAAAAGGCCGCCAGACTTCCCTTCTTCTCCCATCTCACTCAGACATTCTGCCACGGATGCCGAGAAGTCGAGTGGTTCACCAAAGCTGGTGCGACCTTGGGAATCCAAATTCTGGTGACCAAGCTGGGCTTGGGCCATGCTTTCCTCAATAGTAAACAGCTCGAGATTATCAAGGCACTGTTGTTCATCATCAAAGACACGCCTCAAGAAGTCCCGGCCAGCACACGAATTACCTCGCAAGAGACACTGGAATTCATTCTCCGGCAGTGCTGCGCAGGTCAGACCCGAGAAATGATCACGAACGAGAAAAGCACCATTCATGCGCTTTCCCTTACATTCAGCGTCGAGCTCTCTCACATGAATAAACATGCACGTGAGACTGCACAGCGTGCTTTTGCGATCATGGCAGAGGTGGTAGGCGTGGAAGTCCACGAGCTCATTGCCCCTGTCAAGGAAAGACTGTTGCAACCCATATTCAATAAACCACTCCGAGCTCTGCCGTTCCTCTCGCAAACTGGATTTATTGATGCAATAACGTATTGCTTGGGCCTGGGACATGATTTTGTTCCCTTGAACGACCAACTGAATCGTCTGATGATGGAGTCCCTTGCCCTGGCAGATGCCGACTCCGAGATCCTGCATCCGAAACCCGATGAGTTCAATAATTCTCAGCTGATTATCAACCTCCGTGTGTCTTGTTTGAAGCTCTTGTCCATTGCCATGAGTTTGCCCGACTTTGCGACCGGTCCTCAAAACACAAGCCGAGCACGCATCATCACGGTGTTTTTCAAATTGCTTTATTCAAGGTCGCCAGAGATCATTGAGGCCGCCAATGCAGGTCTGAAAGAAGTTTTGGTCCAAACCGCAAAATTACCCAAGGATCTTCTTCAAAATGGCCTAAGACCTATCTTGATGAATCTGCAAGACTCGAAGCGGCTCACTGTTGCTGGACTGGAAGGACTGGCGAGGCTCTTAACCCTGTTGACCAATTATTTCAAGGTGGAGATAGGTGCACGACTCCTGGAACACATGAAAGTAATCGCAGATGACCAACTCCTCCAGAAAGTCTCGTTTGGTCTGGTTGAGCAAAACCCTCAGATGAAGATCGTCACGGCGATATTCAATATCTTCCACCTCCTGCCTCCTGCAGCTGCGAGCTTCATGGCGGATCTGGTGAACAGCGTCTTGGATTTGGAGGGAAAGTTGCGCCGCACGGTGGCCAGTCCATTTCGGCCACCTCTGATCTTGTATCTTGACAAATATCCGGCAGAAACATGGTCGTTCTTCCGGTCACGCCTGCAGGAAGAGAAGTACGGACGATTTTTCGGGCAAATCCTGGCCTCTGAGTCCAGTCGCGCTTTACGTGACACCGTGATGAAAGATACTGAAGGGCTGATCAAGGCCGCCTTCGAGGTCGAAGCGGATCAAGAAAAAAATACCGCCGCGATTAGTGGCATTTACATCGTGCATTCGATTTGCATGTTCGACTTAGCCAAGAATTGGCTACGAGAACAAGATCGGCTGCGACTTAAGGTTTTGTCGGCCGGACAAGAGCTAGAAGGTCTATTGCGAAAAGACCTTCTGCAACCTCCACAGCGACTACGGGCTGAACAGACTGGAGACCAATTAATGGACATTTTGACGCAGTATTTGGAGTCGGTGCCCGATGATCTTGACTTTATGATCGAGGTCTGTTCCTCCTCCGCGCAAGGGAGTATCAAATCCCCATTGAAATTGACCAAATACCTCTTCGACTCTGTCATCACCGACGAATCCACCGCACGCCGGTTTAGCATCATTGAGAAATGTCTCGACATTTATTGTCAGAAATCCGAGGCTCAGAAGGTGAAGACATTCCTATTACACAATGTCGTCAATCCGATTATGGCGAGGGATGTTCAAAATACTCGTCGTAAGAATAACAAGGCTGGTACTTTGGCGGACAGCAAGCTGTTCAACCTCTTCCTAGAGCGTCTGTGGAAGCCCGCAGCCCCTGAGACGAGTGATGACTCATCTCAGCCGGGAATTGACCATTCGCGCATGGAGGCACTGCAACTGTCAGCCTTGGTCCTGAAATATCACAAAGACGCTGTATCCGAGGACCGAAAGGATATCATCAAGTACTCGTGGGGACACATCAAGCTGGAAGATGTTATTAACAAATACGCGGCCTATGTTCTCATTTGCTACTTTATTCGATCCTATGACACTCCACCGAAAATCGCCGTGCAAATCTATAATCAGTTGCTGAAAGCGCACCAAAACGAGGGCAAGGCTTTGGTCACTCAAGCTCTGGAAGTGCTGGCTCCTGTTCTACCGGCCAGGATGGGTGCTGCCACCAATACTCCCGGCGATAAGCGATCTCCACACTGGGCTCGCCTGCCGCGTAAGATCCTCAACGAGGAGGCCGGTAACCTGCAGCAAGTTCAGAGCATTTTCAACTTCATTGTGCGCCAGCCCGACTTGTTCTATGATTCAAGAGAGTTCTTCGTCCCAACCATAGTTCAGATGCTTCACAAGATCGCTCCTCCACCGAACCCTTCAAACGAAAACAAGAAGCTCGCACTTGCTTTGATTTCATTGATCCAACAATGGGAGAGCCGCCGGGTTTCTGCCGTGTCCCCGGCTCAGTCAGTAGCGGAGCTCTCGACTTCACGCAAGAGAGATTCTTCCGGAGCTCAATCCTTGGCGCCTCCGCCAACCAAGGAGAAAGCCGAATATCTAATTCCGCTGGAGCTTCGCAAGGCCGTCGTCAAATACATGATCACATTCATCACGTCTTTGCCAGAGCGGTTTCCAGTGCCGGCGGCGGAGCTGAAGGCCAAGACAATGCAGAAGGCCCAACAGCCAGCTTTGTCGAATGACATGTGCAAGAAAAGTGTGCAGCTGCTTCGGGATCTATTGGCTCCAAATTTGTGGTCGGACGTCGACGTCGGTCTCTATGAAAAGCTTTTGGAGCCGATTTTGAGTGGCGACAAAGCAGATAAGATGGAGGAGAAGCAATTGACTTGCATGATCAACGCTTTGCAGGTGATGCGCATTCTGCTGGGCACGAAGTCGAACGAATGGATTATCGATCACATGGAAAAAATCCAGAAGCTGCTGGAAAAGCCCTTGAAGATGGATGAACCAGAAATTCAGGACTGTCTCCATTTGGTCACTGACGACAACAAGTCTATTCCCTTGGTACGCCAAATTCTCGAGGCCATTCCGAAGCAACGGACAGACGAGGAAGATGCCATGGAATTGGACACCACCCCTTCAGACTTTCCCACCCGGTTTTCCAAAGTTCTCGTCGGTGAAGCCCTTTCGTCCGGCAACTATACTTCCGGGATCAATAATTTGTGGACATTGTCTTTAGTTCGACCGAGCGACGTTGATGACCATATCAACGGGGCGATGAAAGCCTTGCAGCAAAAACTGGCGAAGGAACATATCAACGCGTATGTGATACCACCCGGGCCGCCTCCGCAAGGGTGGCGGCTCGGTGAACCGTTGATGGATCCTTACGAATTCGCCCTCGGAGTCGACCTGATCAAGAAAACAATCGACATTCTATCACTGCGCATGGGGGAGCTTAACGATCAGCGCCGCCCATTCTTGAGTGTCCTCGCCTCTCTCGTTGAGAAGTCTTTCAACGATGAAATGTGCAACAAAGTCCTGGACATGGTCGAAAAGTGGGTATTCAATTCTACCGAACCGTGGCCAACCCTCAAGGAGAAAACCGCTGTCCTCCACAAGATGCTTATCTTCGAAAAATGGCCTACGCAGAAGCTGCTCGAACGCTTCCTTGAACTTGTGATCAAGATCTACGAGGATCCTACGGTGACGAGGACCGAGTTGACCGTCCGATTAGAACATGCTTTCCTGATTGGAACTCGCGCCAAAGATGTGAAGATGCGGAATCGCTTCATGAGTATCTTTAATCGTGCCTTGTCCAAGACCGCCAGCTATCGGTTGAATTATGTGTTAACACTCCAGAACTGGGACACTTTGGCAGACTCCTTCTGGTTGAAACAAGCATCGCACCTCATTATGGGTTCGGTGGAAATGTCCATGCCCGCTCGTCTGCATCCTGAGGATGTTCGTGTCTGTCCCGTGTCTCAATTGTTCGATCCCAATCTGGTGAGTCCAGAGCAACCAAAGGACGATTTGATGATCGAAGATAGTCTGGAAGCTCTTGTTGCTGCGCAGCGTCGCTTCAATCAAGAAATTCACGAAGTCAAAGTGGGAGATCTTCTTGATCCCATCACCCAGCTTCAGCACATTGACGACACCGTTGCTTACGATGTATGGGTCAAGCTTTTCCCTCTTTGTTGGTCCGCTTTAAGCAGAGACGAACGACTTGATCTCGAGAAAGGCATGGTCACTCTTCTCACTCGGGAATATCACCAAAGACAACTGAATCTGCGCCCCAACGTGGTGCAGGGATTACTCGAAGGAGCTGTCCGAGCAAAGCCGAGATTCAAGGTGCCACCACATGTCATGAAATTCCTGAGTCGGACTTACGATGCGTGGTACACCGCACTTATCTCGCTGGAGGAATCGACCATCGATCCATTGATTGATACCCCGCAAGTTCGCGAGAGCAACCTTGATGCTTTGGTCGAAGTGTATGCGGGGCTTCAAGAAGACGACCTGTTTTATGGAACTTGGAGAAGAAGATGCAAGTTCATGGAAACGAATGCGGCTTTATCATATGAACAGCATGGAATCTGGCATAAAGCACAGCAACTGTGGGAAGCAGCGCAAGTGAAAGCAAGAACCGGTGTTGTTCCTTTCTCGCAAGGAGAGTATTATCTCTGGGAGGACCACTGGATTATTTGCGCACAAAAGCTTCAGCAATGGGACATTCTGGGTGAATTCGCCAAGCACGAAAATTTCAGTGACCTTCTCCTGGAATCGGCTTGGAGAAACTATGAAGCTTGGAACGGAGACGAAAACCGCAACCAACTGGACTCAATGATCAAATCCGTCTCTGATGCACCCACCCCCAGACGAACGTTCTTCCAAGCGTTCATGGCGCTCCTTCGATACAACTCGAAACAAGTGTCTCGTGCCGAGTTCCAGCATGTCTGCGATGAAGCTATCCAGCTGTCCATCCGTAAATGGCATCAGCTTCCTAAGCGAATCACCAATGCTCATATTCCCATTCTGCAAAACTTCCAACAACTGGTTGAATTGCATGATGCCAGCGTCATTTGTGACAGTCTGATGGGAACGAATGAGCGAAACCTCGACAACAAATCGCAAGAAGTCAAACTGTTGCTGCAGGCCTGGCGAGATCGCCTACCAAACATTTGGGATGATATCAACGCATGGCAAGACCTCGTCACCTGGCGTCAGCATGTCTTTCAACTCGTCAACTCGACCTATTTGCCACTTCTCCCGCAAGGCGGCAATAACGTTGGCAACAACTCCTACGCTTTCCGAGGCTACCACGAGACCGCATGGATAATTAACAAGTTTGCCCATGTCGCTCGCAAGCACCAGATGCCGGAAGTGTGTATCACCCAGCTGGGCAAAATTTATACCCTACCCAACATTGAGATCCAAGAAGCCTTTCTGAAATTGAGAGAGCAAGCAAAATGCCACTACCAGAACAAGGCCGAGTTGAACAACGGCTTAGACGTCATCAATAACACCAATCTGAACTATTTCGGTGCTCAGCAAAAAGCCGAATTCTACACACTCAAAGGAATGTTTTTGGCCAAGTTACAGCATGCCGAGGAAGCAAACGAGGCATTTGGGGTCGCGTTGTATTATGACCTGCGATTGCCAAAGGCGTGGGCCGAATGGGGCCAATATTCGGATCGCAAGTTCAAGGAGAACCCCGTTAACATCGAGGCTGCCAGCAATGCTGTGAGCTGCTACCTTGAAGCGGCAGGGTTGTACAAGAGCGCCAAATCAAGAAAGATGCTCAGTCGAGTCCTATGGTTGCTCAGTCTCGATGATGAAGAAGGCCGTATTGCCAAGGCATTTGAAGATTTCAAGGGTGAGACACCAGTCTGGTATTGGACTACATTTGTACCACAGCTTCTCGGCTGTCTCGAGCACAAGGAAGCACGCCTGGCCAAGGCCGTTCTGGTCAAGATCGCGAAGGCCTTTCCGCAGGCACTCTTCTATCATTTGAGGGCGACACGAGAGGAGTTCTTGACCAAGAAGAAGCAATTGGAGGCCCAGAAACGCCAGCAGAAGCCTCAACCGGAAAAGACCGAAGGTGGATCACGACCGGGCACGGCAAATGGCGACACGCCAGTGAATGGTTCATCGTCACCGAAACCGAAGCAAGAACCTCATGGAGACGGTCAACCGAACGGAACCGAAGTGGAGAAAAAGGAAGAGCCCAAGAAGCCGTGGGACCATACCGATGAGATCATGGCTGGATTGAAGACGGCCTTCCCACTACTTGCTCTGTCGATGGAGACCATGACCGATCAACTCTCCAAGCACTTCAAATGTCCCCCCGATGAAGATGCTCACCGACTCATCGTGGCCTTGCTGAACGATGGCCTCGCGTACATTAGCAGGGCTCCCATAACTTATGCGGAGGGAGCGAAGTTGCCGCCCTCCACTGAAACGAACATTGCTCGTTTTGTGACTTCCGTTCTTCCGGCTCACATTCGCAAGTCATTCGAAGCCGACTTTGTTCATACCAAGCCCACGATGTACGAATACATCCACAAGTTAAGACGGTGGAGAGACAAATTTGAACAGAAGCTTGACCACCGACAACAATGGGCTCCACTCGAGTCCTACAGCCATCATCTGAGCGAATTCAAATTTCTCAAATTCGATGATTCCGTCGAGGTTCCTGGCCAATATCAACAACACAAAGACAAGAACACTGATTTCGTTCGTATCGAGCGCTTTATGCCTGCAGTCGAACTGGTGCGAGGAAATAACATCTGCCATCGCCGACTCACAATTCGCGGCCACGATGGATCCTTGCATACCTTCGCAGTCCAGCATCCAACGGGCGGCAAGGTCAGGAGAGAAGAGCGCATTGTACAACTCTTCCGTATCTTCAACCAGACTTTGGCCAAACGCAAAGAGTCTCGACGCCGCAATTTGTACTTCCATCTTCCCATATTCGTGCCAATCGCTCCATACATCCGTCTCGTGCAGGACGACGCTTCTTACGTCACGTTGCAGACGGTCTACGAAGACTACGTTCGCAACACACCAGGAATGTCACGCGACGATCCAATGCTGTTCGTTCTGGAAAAGTCGCGGACAATTGCGGAGCAACAAAAGGCCTCGCCTCGTACTCCTGATCAGTTGGCGGTCATGAAGACGGAGATTTTCAACACCATTCAGGAACGCTGGGTGCCGAACAACGTTGCCCGACGTTACTTCCAAGCCATCTACCCTACCTATGCAGATTTCTGGCTCTTCCGACGACAATTTTCGTACCAATTCGCCGCAACAACGTTCATGACTTATATCATGCACATGTCGTCCCGATACCCAATGAAATTCTCCATTTCTCGGTCGACAGGCGATATCTGGGCAAGTGACTTGCTCCCCAATTTGAACTCGACGCGTGCGTATTTCTTCAATCCTGAGGCTGTACCGTTCCGTCTCAGCCCCAACATTCAAACCCTGATGGGCCCGCTGGCCGTCGAGGGTATCTTCACCGCGTCTCTCATGGCTATCGCAAGATGTCTCGCGGAGCAAGACCAGGGATACGAAATGGAGCAACAACTCAGCATCTTCGTTAGAGACGAGATGTACAATTGGGCGGCAGGCCGTTCTCAATCTTCCAGTTCGAACGAAGCGAAAATGGAGGGTCAGCATCTCCGTGAGCTGGTGTCGCAGAATACGGATTTCATTGTCCGCCGAGCCTTGACGCTTGCGAAGACACAAGGTACCGTAGGCAATGCTGCTGAAGGAAGCAATGCGACTGGAGTGTTACCCGCTTGTCAGAATGTCGTCGATCTCGTCAGTCGAGCGACTGATCCGATGAAACTAAGTGCGATGGATGGGCTGTGGATGCCTTGGCTCTAGGTGTGCCAGGAAAGGGAAAGAGGAATACAAGATTGATTTGACGGCGTTGCTGGCAAGGTTCAACTTATGCGGGATGGGACGAATGAAAAATGAACCAAAAAAGGGAACCGGACCAGGAAGCAGAAGGGGAACATGAGGTTGAGAAACAACCTCGAGTGACGTGAGGTTCCGGAGTCTTATCTTACGACGACAATCGACAATGTTTCTGACGGTGGTCATTTGCTACGGAGTTTCTCTACTTGCCACTTTGATATGGGAACAACCAAGCGTGGTTTATTTCGGGGGTTATTCATTTGTACGGGAGTCTTCTGGATTTTCAATGTGATCAACCCTAGCGGTCGACGTTTGGTGAGGCCTTCAGCACGGATGCGTGGAGCTTTGAGCCTCTTTAGTCTTTTTGTATTTCTGGGGCTGCTTTGAATGCTTGAATTGCGAAAGTTTCTACCGCTTTAAAAGCATCCCACCACTTGATTGGCTGATCAATTTATTTCAATCTTTTCCTTTCCCCGTTGTTGGGAGCTTCACTCTATTATGATCATCACAAAATGTCATTATCGCCACAGTGCGTTCCATTGGCCCAAGATTTGCTAAAACATTGAATAATATCATGTGCCCAGGGTTCATAAGGAGAGGACCACCCAAGTCCAAAAACCTCTTGCTCATTGCGCATTTCCGAGGAGGAGGATGATGATGATGGTGGGGGATCTCCTTAAAAAGGTCGACACAAAGGTCATACAGTCAATGGCCAAAATTGAATGCAAGGTAGAAGTCGGAGCATCCATGACCATCACTCGTCAGATTTTCCAAAGGGCTATTGAGACTCTTATGACCATCATGACCCGATAGCTTGCAAAGCTGTATCCAGAACCTCATCTGCATCGTCATCCATTCGTTGCTCGAGCTTTTGTTCGTTGCTCATTTGCCTCCCAGCCCTAGGTACTCCACCAGACATAGCTTCCTTCTCTCTTCGTTTGGATCGGGTGCCGCCGATCACGGCGGTCGAATCCTGCTGCGTTGTCATATCGACATCATCAAGATCGTGGTCTTCTTCAAGTGCCCAAAACTCCATTGCTCGACTGAGAAGTGTACCAGCAACACCGCCTCCACCGGCATCACCGCCAAGAACCCTGACAGCCTCGTGAAGAGCCATAACAGCGTCCTTGGTCCGGCCTACCATACTGAGTAAGACCAATCCGCGACTGGTGTGGATACTACCGATCAGATTTCGCTCGTCATAACCACTCGCTGCACCGCTGGGTCCGAGGCCCGTGCTGGTGCCGGTGAGACTGAGATTTGCCAACGCGGACATGCCACGTCCTGGTTCAAACGCGGACGCGGACGCAGGTGCGGCTCCTCCGGTGGCCGTCCTTAAACATTCGTCAAATTCGGCCAGGGATTCTTCGAATCTTCCCAGCCGTCTTAGTGCATGGGCTAAATTTGCTCTCGTCGCGACCCAAGCAGTCATATTGCATCCCAATTCTGCAGCCAACTCGAGTGATTTGTGGAACAGTTTGGCCGCAGCTGGCAGGTGCGACTGATGGTATAATATTACACCGATTTCATTGAGAACCAGTGGATCACCACCAAGATGGCTGCTATTTTTGAGTATCTTGTTTCCGAGATCGTCATCTGTTCCATCCGTGATTGCTCCACTGCTCATCTCAAACGCCGCTAAACAGTATTCCCAGGCAAGCTGCATATTGTTCAGAGCGAGGTGCTGCATGCCGAGGAAGAGTTGGGGTAAGTGACTCCCTTGGAACAGCCTTGCAGCGGTAGAGTAGGCCGCTATTGCCTGATCGTGCTCGCCTTCAGCAGCAAAGGTGTGGGCAAACCCGATCCATGCTGCCGCTGAATGTGGATCCATCAAAGAGGCCTTGGAGAAGAAGCGCCGAGCTTCTGCTATTCGAAATGTGGACAGATAGTAAGTTCCTATCGCCAGGTAGGTGTAAGATTCATGAGGAGCATGAGTCGATAAGGTATGTGAGAGGTGGAAGAGAGTCGTATACGATCCCGTCTCGTAGAGAACGGCGAGATGTAGCGGGTACAAGCGGGGGCTGTGACCAAGTGAGGCGTTGGTGTTGCTTGATGAGGCATCTATCGCGGTGTGAGAATGATCCTGCGAATTCAAAATACTTGTGGTGATGGCCAGGGCTTCATGAAATCGACATTGCGTATACAGAGTTTCGGCCCGGGTGAGAAGCAAGTCTGGATTTGATGCGAGATTGTAATGGGTGGACAGTGTCTCTGTGGCGTGGGCGAGGGTCCCTGGGGAGGAATATTTGGATAAACGGGTGGTGTACAACAGCTTGGTGAAATGGGCCGCCTCCTGGGCCAGAGATTGATCCTCGATTCGGATGGAGTCAAAATCCAATTCGTCCAAAAACGCCAACTCCTCCGCCGGGGACATTAAGGAATTCTTCATAAGTTGGTCGAAGGCCTCGAAGCATTGGACGTCTATTCGGACTGCGTCTTTGTAGCAATCCCTCGCTCGATCAAAAGCATTGCGTTTGGCAAAACACAGGCCTCGCAGATAGCACATGCCAGCCTGAAATTTCAGCTCCTTCTCCGACTCTCTGTCTCGTTCTCGTTCTTCGCTGAGTTCTATCCTGTCTCTTTGAGGTCTGCCGCTTCTCTGTGTGGCATTTCTTTGAGAGTGGCCATTGATATGGGCCAGCTTCCTGCGAGCATTGTGCGACGTGGTGATGAGATGCGTAGGATTATCTTCCCCGAGGATGACAAGGGCCTGGTCGTATCTGCCTTGTTTTATGTAGCAGTGAGCAGCCAGATATCGACACGAGAGGCTTCGATGGATCAGGTCTTTTCGTGAAAGAAGGGCGAGGGCCCGCGTAAAATTGTTGTTTCCAAAATGCACTTGGGCCAGCCAGAATGCGTCTGCATCATTATCTTGCAACAGAACGGTCAACGATGTTCCCGGACCACAGTCGCCTACTCACATACTCGTCAAAGCCAGGACCTTGTCTCCGATGTATATCGCAGCGTCATGCTGGCCCTTGTTCAGGGCATCTTGTCTCCATGCCCGCAGATACTTGTCCATGTTGAGGGCCGCGTAGAGAATTTGGGCCCATGGAATGGCGGAAGGCCACCAATCACTCCGAAGACGTGTTTGACGATATTAGCTGGACGAAACAATGGAGAGGAGGTTGTTCTAAGTAAAAGAAAGTAATGCCTGAACGGCATTGTATTGTTTGGCAGTATCCTGGAATGGAGGCGCGACTTTGTGGCGAATGTTTGGGAGTGCAAAACGTGAAGTTTCTTCTCCCACAGCCGGGCTGCGTTTCCCATCTTTTCCTTTTCTCCCCCCTACTCGTCTTTTTCTTTCCTGTCTCTTCCCCGAGACATCTCTTCTCGATTCTTTAGATCAAGATGTCTGAGAGAAAGGTTCTCACCAAATACTACCCTCCCGAATTTGACCCTTCCAAAATCGCCCGCACTCCCAAACATCTACGCCCGACAGGCCCCAAAACCATCCCAGTACGTTTGATGGCACCCTTTAGCATGAAATGTACATCTTGTGGCGAGTACATTTACAAAGGCCGCAAATTCAACGCCAGGAAAGAAACAACAGACGAGAAATATCTCACGATTTCCATCTACCGTTTCTACATCCGCTGCACGAGATGCAGTTCAGAAATCACCTTCAAAACCGACCCCAAGAATATGGACTATACGTGTGAAAGAGGAGCCAAACGAAACTTCGAATCATGGCGAGACCCAACAAGTGCCGAACTGAAGGAGACGGACGAGGAGCGCCTGGACCGGCTCGAACGAGAGGAAGCTGACGAGGCAGAGAGCGCTGAAAGAAATGCCATGGAAGAACTCGAACAGAAAATGGAGGAGAGTAAACGAGAAATGCAGGTCGCCGATGCCCTGGACGAGATCATGCAGAGAAATGCACGGATAGAGCGAGGAGAGAGGGGAGGCAAGGAGGAAGAGGCTCTGAACCAGGTCAGGGACCTTGCAAGAGAGCAGAGAAAAGCGGAAGAACGGGAAGATGCCGAGGCTGCTCGTAAAGCTTTCGAGGGCGACAATGTGGAAAAGGCCCGACTTGAGGAAGAATTCGAAGTCAATGGGAATCACCACACGGGGCCATTAGAGACGGAAGAGGGACCGCAGGCACCCTCTTTCGAAAGATCCAAGAAGATGAAGAAACCCCTCGTACCCGGACTGATACGAAAGACTAACCCTATTCAAACTACGCCATCGACAGTCCAAGCGAAACCGCCCGGCCTCGGTCTGGGTGGCTACGACTCTGATGATGATTAACCGACGAGCCAACCTTCTGTGCAGAAGGCCCGTTATAACTTGCACCCTGCCATGTCGCAGAGTGACGGGCTTTGAGTGGGGAGAGCGGTCTTATCGGCCTTGGGCCCGTGTGCCTCCTCAGGTCATTTGAGTGGAATAAAAGCACTCCCTTCCGGGAGATTCCCTTGCCACTGACAGCCCGTCACCGGGCTCCTCCCAATGGGCAGCGAAGGGGGACATCTGGTTTATTGAGCGCAAAAGCCCCTTCGCACAATAGGAGAAGGCTGATCGCTTCGGTCACCGGATGCTTATCAAGCATCGGAGCGGCTATTGCGAAGTATGTGTATGAAGCTGGTTCTCCTGTCGTCACCACCACTCGTAAGCCAAACACACTCTTATACCTCTCCGACGGACCAAATGTTCTCAAATTTGAAATTGGACGTAACACCATAGGATCAAGTCACCAAAGCGCTTGCGACAGCAGTCGAAAGAGGGTGGCCATCTGGATGTGGTGGTGGATAATGCAGGCTATGGCATAAAAGATGCCAATGCGCGAATACAGTGGGAGTCGAACTTCTGGGACGCGGCAAATGTTACAAAAGCCGCTCTACCTATCCTCGGGAAGTCGACCCTCCTGGAGAGGGCGGGCTGGTTAGGATATTATCATGCCAGGTACAGACTATATATTATCACCTTTCCCAAAACTAAGGGAGACATCGCCGTCCCAATTTGGTCTCTTTCGCAAGTTCGCTCTTGAGGTTTATACAGAAGCTGTTGCAAAGGAGATACACATGGCATCTGAGGCGGCACGTGTGCACAGGAGTGATCCATCCGAGTGCACTCGAGTCATTTATGAGACTTGCTATGGGAGGGAGATAGCGACATGGCGATGACTTTCTCAGGTATCAGACGTGGCTAGAATATCCCATTTTTAGCGGATCCCGGTACCTACAAGAGGTTGGTGAGGTTCTTTACACGAACAGTCCCCTCTGATTGCATGGGCAATATGCAAGTGGGCCAATGTACACCGATGTACCTCCTACTGCGAGTGACTGGGTCACCGGTCGGCCGCCGTCGACCGTTGACGAAGCGAGCCGTGATGCTTTTCTTTCAGCTGCTCACCTGATTGAAATTCCTGGAAGGCGCCGAACTATGCAGCTCTAGCCGCTTCGTCGTCCCGAATGTGGTAACAATTTGGTCGGTGGCCTATCATTCGTCCGACTCTTTGCGAGGGATCTTGGATTGGTGGCGTCTCCAAGCTCAACCTACATCTGTAAATAACCAAGCGCACCACCATGATTGGGCAACCCCGGATACCCCTGACCGCCGAAGCAACCCTGAGAATAGACATCCCCACCCGCCCATTCTCGGTGGTAAGCGCCCAGATTGGTGGGCCTGAAAATGGCAGCAGGTAGAGACCATGCGGCTCTGGTTTCTAGCCGCCGGCGACATTCGAAGCTAATGCAGGACGGGAAGACTTGTTGTGGAAAACGGACCAATGACACGAGAGAATCATAGTGGCCCGATCATAGATAGCATCAATAGTGTGGTTGGTTGACATTAGTATTCTCTCTAGGTCGTTGTACCAGAATTATACCTGATATTCGATGATGGCGTCCCGACACGGCTGTCTAAGGAAGAGTATATAGAAGACCACACCGGCTCCCAGAATCTCGAGAAACAACAAGACGGTTGAAACAAAACATTCAGACATCAAACACCAAAACACCCAGAGACAAATCCGTTTTGGACCCAGTCATCAAACCGTCATGTCTTACACTTCGACTCAGGTGGTCAGCCGACCGTCATCCATCACCAGCCAATACATGCCCATCAAAGACATCACCAACCCGGACCCAGCCTCTCCTTTCAGCTCTCCATTCTATCGACAACACACTTTGCGACCGAACAACATCATCGTTGAAGACGGCCAGCTCGACGACGAGCGATGGAGCAGACAAGCATTTGCTCTCGGCATGCCCTTTGGAGATGTTCAGCGACCCAATGCAGAGGCCCGCAAAGTGGCTCAGAAGATGCAAAGGAAACAAAACTTGAACGAAAAGCAGCTGGTCGAGTTGCTTCTCCCATTAGTTCAGTCCTCGGCCAAGTCACACAAGAAGCTTCAAGTCCAGACGGGCAACAACTTCCACCACGATGCCGTTCCCATTGGCACATTTGATCAGTCCAGCTACACCGCTTGGAGCATGCCTCTCCCCGTTCCCAAACCTGACATCGCGGTCGGCTTCACCTCAAAGACATTCAACTCCCATGAACTGGAGCTGCAAGAGGGAATCATCTCGAATGCTCACGGCGAGCCTTGCGATTTGGCCAAAGTGTCTCAACCCACTCGTGACGTGTTCTGGCCATTCTTCGTCGTGGAGGTCCAAGCATCACTGTATGCGGCACAAAATGCCGCAGCCGGTTCCGCATCGACCTGCAACAACGCCTTGGCCCTTCTGGCGGAAGCAGCCGACGAGCCGACCATCCAACGTCAAGGGCGAGGTATCTCCTGGCAATCTCGAAGAGCAGTTCAGTCATTTTCACTCGCAGTGTGCGGCAAGACCGCCACGTTGAACCTCCACAACTTCCAAGGCGGCCTGTCCCACTGCGCCGCCGTGATCCGATCATACAAACTCGACGATGAGAGCGACATGGAGGCATTGGCCTCACGGCTCGCGAGCATTTTGATCTGGGCTGAAAACTGCCGGCTGCCGACCATTGTCGATCTGCTCGAAAACCTCGACCACATGGTCCAGCTCGAATCACGCGACTATTTGTCTGACGCATTTACAAACGAGAATCTGGTCACTGTCAGCAACCACGACGCCGGCTCCCCGCGGAAAAGATTCAGCGGGATCAAATCCAGGTTAGCCGAGATCTCTCCAAAATGGATCCGCGTGCAGGCATGAAATAGTTAGGCGACCATCGAACCGAGAAAAGCGACTGTACAATGGCGGAGGGATCATATGACTTAGGCGCCGGGGATTCGGGGGAGTTTGGAGTCGGGAGATCTAGATAACGAATGTAATGAACCAACAAGATAATGACCTAATATAATCATCTGGACTTCTCTTCTCTGTGCAATTAAAAGCCACAACCGTGCAAGAGCGATGTGAGGCTGACCGTTTGGGAGAATCATGATCAACCAGTGAGTTGGTACAAAGATCAACAAAACAGTGTGATAAGTCATCGTGGGCGCTTAGGGGTAGATCTAAGTTCATCATGCCACTAACCCCGTGATGTTGGCGCCCACGGGGTTAGGTGGAGAAGAAATGCTGATTGGCCGACCGAGAGCGCTTTTGATTCACGCTTAACTATATTTGGTTAGCTCATTCACTGGCCAACCTTTACCCTCGTTTCCGGTTTCGCCATCCTTCGAACTTGCTGCTCTCGAAGCGCTCACTTTCTCCGGCCCCAGATCTTACCATCACTGAAGCAGATGAAACATGCTCTATGACCTATTCTAGAGCTAGCCCGAGAGTGCCACTGTGCAATATCATGGACCGCAAGCAACACTTAGCTGTTAGAGGTATGGTTTCTCGTGGTGCCCTGCATCTTCCCTCTGCAATTGAAGTCAACCAAGTCCGAGCTGGACTAATGATGCAATGTCCAATGAGACAATCACATTTCGCGTGAACATACTAACGAATAGTACTCCCGACGGCATCTCTCATGGAGTGCCCTATCTGTTTATATATCCACATCCACTATGTAAAGTGCTTTTCGGACGTCCTCTCCTGTTTCCTCCCTCCCACCTTCCGATTTTCTCTCCGCGCACTTGATGGATAGCAACCGATAACGCATTTGACATCTCATCATCCTCGACACGGGACTGCTTTGAGGCGGACGGGTTTGTGAGGAGAAGCGGCATCGCGTGAAAAGCTCCGACCAAAATGTCTGCGGGTAGTGACTCTACACACTCATCGCCGTCGGGTGATCTGCCATCGGCATCATACGATGGCAGTCACTTACCATGGAGAACATTCCGACAAGAAGTGTTGGCCCCTCATCGCATCCGAGTGCTAGAGAGCCCACCAAAAGAGCGGATTCCGACATCATTCCTCAAGGTTGTCGAGGCCGCAAGTCAAGATACCGCCCGCTTCGAGGATCAAAAGATGTCATTTTGGAATCAGGTCACGGCCGGCCGTGGCTTTGGGCCGTCACCATTATTTCCTCCTAATCTTCTCCCTCCCATCGAAGCAGAACCACGTCTTTCTCGTTGCATGGTTCCTTCGTTTAGTCGCGAAGCCCTCCCCGAAAGAGCCATCAACCAAATGGGACCACTCTACGAACTTTCCGTCCCTCACCCTGGACTAGGATGTGGCTTCTCGGCCGCGGCGTTCACCAACAAGGAGTTGGCGTCTCTGCCGCAGTGGCTTCAAGCTTCTGGCACGATCGTCCACTTCGACACGGGCTATATTTCGGCCGGAGCAACGATGTACTGTTCGTTCCTCACGTTTGAACGCGCGTACGGCAACAAAGAACATCGAGTGGAATCGGCTAACAATCAATGCGCTATCGCCGGGGCTTTCTCCGCTCGAGCCTTGCAAATGCTATATACCAAAGCGTGGAAAGGTCAAATGATGCCAGAACTCCCCGTCGCTTTCTCATGCACCATCGACAACAGCTTTGCCCTGCTCAATCTCCACTGGATCGACCATGGCCAAGCGTATTGTATGGCTCCTCTCTGTCAATTCGATCTCAGCAAAGACATCCATTTCAACAAGTTCTTGGTCTGGACCCAAGCCATAGGCGATTGGGCCCTTTCGCACGTCCTCCCTCTCGTCAAACAAGCTCTCGAGCGACTTCAAACATCCCATGTCATCGCCTCGAGCCCTCAAGCCCCAGATCAGCCTACCAAACTCCGGCTCGATACTGGAGTGAACAAAGACGAACTCCTAATCTCGTCGTTGAAGACCACCTTCGAAAATATACCCTGGCGCTTTGAGGACGATGAATTCACACCGGTGAGCAGCAGCACCGCCAGCTGGGGCAGTCCAATGGTCTCAGACTTGGTCTTCTCCAATCTGAGTTACCCTCCCGTACGTCCTCCTCGGAGCAACAGTCATATTTCGGGAGTTGCCCGGAAACATGTCGAACGCATCGATACCAAACCCGTCACTCCACCACCAGACTACCTTCAAAACCAAGACATGGTCTCGCAGAAACGCTTCAATCATGCCATGGACGAAATTCGCGAACTCCAGCAACAGATCCAAGCTTTGAAGGCGGAAGTCGTTACCTCTCAGTCTTCCCTCCGCGATGAACTGACCATGATCAAATCCAATTCAAGCTCGAGCGAGCCAACCACGCCACGAGTGTCGAAATCGTCGACTCACCCTCCTGCCGTGACATCATTTCCCGTAAGCTCCATCGCCATTTCGATCTGCACCACCATTATCCTCTCTGGCCACATTCTGACCACGTCCATTCCCGGCATAACGGTTCGAATGATTGCGCTTGGATGCATTACGAATGCGTGTATATGGACGTTTATCAGCCCTCGTTTCTCACAAGTCAGTCCGAGGGCAAAGATATCATTGCCTTCTTTGTGGCGACCGTAAGGACGAAAAGACTCAGATGGTATTTGTGGTTCCTATGTGGGCGCATGGACCTAGTCGAACCCCAGTATCGCATAGCGTGACGTCCGATGTTATTCTCACTGTCTAGAGATCGGTCTACTGCAAGAACTTATTTTTCTTTGGTGTTGACATTTGGTGATGGCTTAGAAAGACAATATTGTAGGCCCCCTGGAAGGGACCAAAGTTGGTGTCATTGCCCAACATATATTGCCTTATAAGGCAAATGTATACTGAAACCACTTACGAATTTCATTCCCATATAGTATCAACGTGGAAGTCCAAACTATCGTTCTTGCCCCCTTCCTTGTTCTGATCCCGTGACTGCTTCCTCGGCTGAATCTCGGCATCTCACGTGATCGTCAGACAAGGCTGAAGGGGGGCCACCGTGCTGATAGCTTCGCCATCAGACTGACAAGTTCTGAAGAGTACCAAAATCCTCTTTCGACACGCAAAAACGCGTCCACATTCATCATTTCCAACACCACAGAGCGACGCGCATGATAGAGCCTCTTTACATTTCCATCTGCAGTGCATTCTTTTCGGTCGAAATTCGTCCGCTGCCACGGAGGCTAGAAACTGAAAGAATCACAAGCGGGACTGACATTCCCTGGTACATAAATTGCATGAGGCCCCCCCTTCCCAGGCCTTTCCTCCTACCCTCCTTCAGTCTATCTATCCTCTTCCCAATGACCTTTTTCGAGTAGTCTCAAGTTGACTCACCTTCAATTCACCGGAAACTGATCTCAAACCTTGCTTTCCAATTCATCGTCCGAGAGCTATGTCCACCTCTCAACCTTCATCTGCTCTGGCAAAGATAAAACTATACACGAATCACGGCTGTGGTTGGTGTCATCGTGTCCACATCACGCTGAAAGAACTAGGTCTCGAATACGAAGAAGTCAAGGTGGATCTTGATCAGGCTAGACCGGCATGGTTCCTTGCCCTCAATCCGGTAGGTGAACATCCTATCGACGACCATGGTGGACATCTACCTCCCAATGCCATTCACGACCAATGTGGCCGTCAATTGCCTCTCGTCCTCTCACAACACAGGATTATCCCCATCACGTTCTCTCCTCCCCTTTGAATTCATGGGCACGTCCCGTGCTCATCAGCCTCGCCCTTAACTAACACCCTTGCTTTCTTCCAAAAGCGTGGCCTCGTCCCCGTCTTCCAATACACCCCCGGTCCACACGCCTCAACACTCACACTGACTGAATCCGGTCTCATCGTCTCGTTCCTCACGGAGCTGTACCCATCCCATCTTATCCCGCCTCCACCAGTCCCTGCCGCTCTTACTCCGACTCCAACAGGAGATGCCGTGGCCTCAACACATCTCCGCTATCGCATGTCCTTCATCATCGACGCCTTCTTCACCAAGGTCAACCCATTTATGTTCAAGCTCGTCGGCGCCGACGCAGGTGAAGCGCAAGATAAGATGGTAGATGATATGATTGGTCTGCTTGAAAAGGAGATTGAGCCTTTGCTGCCTGAACCCGGAGCCGAAAAGGGGCCGTACTTTGATGGAAGTGAGAAATTGACGCTCGTCGAGGCAAGTACTCAAAGTCCATCTTCCACCATTCACCTTCTTGGTCTCTCCCCACTACGTATATGTGTGTGTGTGTCTAATCGGATCCATGTGTGTTTACGCATGTATAGGTGATGATAACACCCTTTGCAGTCCGCTTTCACGACTTCGCCAACGGCGTGATATTCCCCACATCACTCGCAGATCGCATGCTAGGCCCAACTCTCCCGCGCTTCTCGCACTGGGTAAAGCTGTGTATGACCCATCCTAGCGTCACGTATGTCTGGGATAAGGAATACTTTTTGCCCAGGATCGAGGAAAGGCTTGGTGCTGCGAAGAAGAAGTACGCGAACATGAATTAAGCCAGTATTAATCAGTGGCCATATAAGACCTTCGACCATGTCATAGCCAAGAGGGCGAGAGAAACTCCGGGAGAACAGTGATTGGGATGGCTCCAAAGAGTGCACAAAAGAATACCTATCGTAGAGGTGCAGGGCGACATCGACTTGCGAAGACGAGCAACGGTGATAAAGTATATGTTTCTGCTAGGTAGGGAAGACGTCGTTCATTCTTCAACGAGAACAAGAGAGAGGGAAATGCTCGAAGGATCAACATCAGCAATTCTGGAAATGTTGATGGCGCCGAGAATGGTGACCAACGAAGCCACCACCATTGAAAACAACAAACCAATATTCTGTGCTAGTCCCGTTGAAATTTGCAATCAGAGCAAATGTTCAATCCTTTTGTCCTGTCGAAGCTGTTCGATCAGAAAACTAAAGCTAAAATGGCTTTCCTCGAATGTTATGTCACCGATGGCCAAGGGCCATTTTATTTCATTTCACTGCCCTTCCATCCGCTGATGCATGCCTGTTTTGTACAAAAATCAATGATCTCATCTGAATGGAGCTGAATCGAAGTGGATTCAATTCCACGATAGAACTATCGCCCAACAACCGTGGAAATTCATACCATCCCATCCCATGTCATTTCATGTCACATTCTAGGCCCAACTCATCCATGATCCTTCCCATTCCGAGCCTCGTCAATCCTGACTTGTTGTTCTGGTCCTAAATTCTCGTAATATCTTTCCGCCAAAGTCCCATCACTCCCTTGTTGTGATCTCGAAGTGAACGGAGACCGATACAACGTTGCCGCACCCTCGTGTTTCTGTATATAATACCCGGCGACACGGCCCCAGAAACCGCCGTTCCGTTGCCACTCAGTCAAAGCCTCTGGGATCAGACGATCATTCAGAAGTAATCCATTTGAACCGATTGGTCGCTTCTCCAGGGCCTCTGATAATTTCCGGGAGGGTCGAGCCACGGGCGGTTCCGGAGTGTGAGGTTTCGGTTGGGTGAATGGATTGGCGTTGTTCAGAGGATCATACGTTGACCGTCTCGGGACATAACTGCCCAGCGGCATTGAGTTCGCGGGGAAAGGAGCCAAATCCATTGTCATATCCATCGATAGCGCTCTTTTCAAGCCCGGCTGCACCGAGGGTGTTATACCAGATTGTATCCCAAGACCCGAAAAGCTTCCTCTTCCAGATCTATGACCAGCACTCGATCCCGGAGGGCTGATTTGCGTAGCGTTAGGATTGATGAATTGAGGAGGATTTTGAGGGTCGAGAGGTTGAACAGGACTTGCCGATGAACTTGAATGCATGTAAATATCTTGTTGTATCCGGGGACTGGGTAAGGTGTATGAGCTGGTGGGCCTACTACCAGGTGGGGAGTTTTTTTCTGCCTTTTTTTGAGCCTTGATCTGATCAGGACTCTTGAAAGGATAAGCAGGGTTCGAAATTCGCCGTTGACGTTCCATTTCAGCGGAAGGAGGAGGTGGTGGCCGTTGACTTGCAGCGGCTCGAATGCTCTCGATTGGAGATGGTTGATAGGAATTGTGCGTCACGGAATTCGGATTCGAGTTTCCTTGGTACGGGAATTGAATATGAGATTGGTGGACGTATGATGGAAAATCAGAGGTGGAGACAGAGGGAGAGCCAGCGTGATCCACTTGAGATGAAAACATCGAATTCATACCCGAATCCTGAGTTTCCAAACCCGACCTGCGATTGGCTGTCACTGGATTCATCCAGTCGTTGCTGTATTGATACTGTTGTGGTCTCATGCTTGAGTTCATCATTGAAGGACCGCCATATCGACCGGTTGTATCCATGGAGTGAAAGCTGGAGAAATGATCATGATACTGTTTGAGAGGTGGAAGTGAAGGATCATTGGACCATTCCGTCATATGTTTAGCATGTTGAGATGCTTGTTGCTGGAATTGTCTTTGTCGCTGAACGGCTTCATGATCAATTCCTATACCAGCAGCATTGCCCATGCTGTGAGCTCTGTCTTCCGCGTCAAGCTGCTGAGCTTTGGCCTGTTGTCTCTGTAGAATTCGCGCCTGCTCATTCGAACGAGCTTCTTGGCCGGTGATGACATCTCGGTAATTGGATGGTTTCATCGGACTCGTCTTTGGTATATCCGTCGACTTATTCTGAGCATGGCTCACGGTGAACTCGAGCATTGTGCCGCTCGATGTGCCTGGAATTGGAGATGGATTTTGGTTGCCCAGCAAGTTCTGTCTCATGTTCGCCATTGTAGCATTTTTGGCAGCAACATTGAGCATCGGGTACGAGGCAGCGAGAGATTGGCGTTTGGGTTGAGGGGGGGGAGCCATGAGGGTTTTTGGAGGCATCACCAAGTCCAGAAAATTGGATGCTGGATCATGAACACGATTATCTGGGTCTGCTGTGTAGTGAGCCTTTGCCTCAGAGGATGATTCTCCAATATAGAGCCATAATTGTTTCTCCTTTGCAAGGTCCACCGGCTTCTGGTCCTTGTTGAGAGGAGGTTCTGCAGAAACAAACTCCGACCATTCAGTTCTTGGATCTTCGGTGAATGGATCTCCGGCACTTGGTTTCTTCTCGGTTGATTCTGGAAGTGAAGCTGTTTTACCTTGAAGATCTTCAGGGAGATCGAGTGCATTTGCAGACGGCTTCTGTAGACAAGAAGTGGCACTGTCCACAAAGAGGACGGTCGTAGGATCCACCTCCTTGACTGTTTTCAAATCCGGTAGAATCTTCACTAGGACTGAATATTGTCCTTCATCGTAACCAGAAATGACAAGACCGGCTTCAATATCATCACCATTCGTTGCTTGGAACTGAATCAGTTCTCCTTCCCTGAGGCCGAACAAGAATTTTCGGAATTCTGCGCTCTCCCAACAGCTATTGGCGTGATTGCAGGCGGAAAGTTCACTGGTGATTCGGGTGCGTTTGACAGTCCGGTGGAGGCGACATCTCCAATCAAAACCGATATCACGATATTCCACACCTTCGTGCCAGACAGCAATTTCTCCTTTGTCGACTTGAACGCCAGCTTGCATGGCACAAGTTGCGTGGTATGACTTGGTGCACTTGGCCGATGAACACTGGAAACATGAGCCCTTCTTTTGTCGACACTCGTAACATTTGAGTTCCAGACGGGCTTTGCTGATATTTTCCACATTGTAGACCATTTCTTTGCCATCTTTGTTGGCAATGTACGTTTCGGGGGTGTACATGGCACAAGTTCTGTGCGCTCGCTGGCCATGTGTAGTGGGGAGAAGCTCTTCCCAAGCAAAATCGTTGGGGCATAGACAGCAAGGTTGATTCTTGCTGACTCTTCGAATCTTGACTATTTTCTTCGCTTTCTTGTTCGGTCCGAGATCTTTTGGAGGACGTTTCCTCTTGTGGGATACCTTGATCTTGCCACGATCACTGCTTGGAGGAGTGGGAAGATCCATAGTTTCATCAAGATCATCTTCGTCATCAGTGACCTCGACTTCCTCAAATTCCGGAGTAGGTTCTCCATTCATCTTTCGGATGAACCAATCAACGTCAATAAAGACGCTGTCGGCCTCACATTGGCATTTCCGCGCAGTTTTGCCGTATTGTAACCAATTTTCGATGGCAAAGTTGACAGACTCGGCACAATTGTAGCCCAGATTGTAGCCGGAATGATAACCGATGGGGAAGGTGATGACAAATTGTCCCTCTCGATGGACAATTTTGTTGACATTGACACCAAACTTGGACTTCAAGATGGATGGCGAGACGAGATATGTCTTGTGGCGCAAAAATTGATCGCAATTCTTAGCGTCGGACGTCCAAAGAGACTTCATGGCCGCTTCAAATCTAGGTGCATCCTTCTGGGAAACGCTGTACCATTGTTTTGGTGCACCGAAATGGATATAATTAATGCTGTAAAGATCGACATCTTCCAAATGCCAGGCGAAGGTTGCCCGCCACATCCCGAGATACAGATAGGCGGTATTGACACCGGGAATGGGCTCTCCCAGAAGGTCCAACAAGTTGGGTAGTTTGGCAACATTCCACTCCTTTGTGTCATCGTCGAATAGGGATCCAGGCATATCGGCAGCATACATGGGATTGCTGAAACTCAGACTCTTCCAATACTTGTCCTCGAGTTCATCGCAACGTTCAGCTGTCCACTGTGCATTGTCGTAAACCCGGTAATCAAAGCCTTGGAATGCCTCTTCGTCAATTTGATCATTGGCTTCGCGGGCATTTCTCAGTCTTCGAGCTGCAACAGTGGTCTCGGAGCCCTTATTTCCGACATCTTTCTTGGCCGTCGCGTTGATGGACTTTGGTTGTCGTCCACGTGGTCTACCGGGCTTTCTTCCTCGCTTGGCTTTGGTTGGGGTTGGATCGGCATTTTCAGTCGCTTCATCCCCCCCCCCTTCATGTTCCAGGGCCGCAGGCTTGATATCTGGACTTGTAGGCGTTGGGGGAGCGAGAAGGGTCGAATCTTGGTCAACTGATTCCTCCTTGATCGGTTGGGGTTTCGAAGTAATTAAGTTACTTTTGGCGGCTTCTGGAGTTGCTGAGGCCTCCGTCTTTCGAGATCTGGCCGATCCTCGTCCGAGCAATTTGTCGGCATTCAGACGTTTCTCTCCGCGTTTTGCCGGAGGTTGGTTCTCAGTCTGTTCGCAAAGTGTCTTCCACTGTGGAAGATTGTAAGATCGCATCTTCTCCATGTTGCGCTGAGTATAGATGCCTTGCGTGCCGTGGAACTCTTGGGCGATGGGATTTTTGATCCTGATGGTCTTGACCATTTCGTCCAAAGCCTTACGGGCACGTTTCCTGGTAAGATGTTAGCCTCATTTCCTTTACGGAATAACGATGTAGAAGAGTATTCTTCTTTTTCCCCCCCCCC